ATAGTAGTAGTAGTAGTAGTTTATTATCATCACTGTATGCGTATGATTACATAATAATAAGCGAGCAGAACATTACATACAGGGATAAATGATCAATAAAGGCATAACAAGTATAATATGTAGCGCAATACACTACCATGACAAAAACTTATAGTTCGGTACACCGTTTTTAAAAGCTACGTTTCTGATATTTTCAAGACCTTGTATACATATGAAACGACTAAGTGCAAATTGTTCTTTGAAAATAGATCCCCTAAGGACGTATATACCAGTTCAGGGTAGGCTGAACGCATCGCTGATGTGAGCTCGCATTTGCTTATAACATGTAGCTCTGTTTGCATTTCACCACACTTGCAGACACGTTCGTTCCTCTCTTTACGACACCAACGACCCGTTTCGATTGCCAATCTATGAGAACTTAGCCTAAACCTAGTAGTAGCTATACGTAGATATTCCGGGATATCGAAGCGGTTTGCGTACATATCCCACACTTCCAGATTGGGGTTCATTTCTAAATAAGTCGTTGCTTTTGTTTGATTCGAATTTTTAAGTTGATCTTTTAGGTTTTCAATGTCCAAGTAAATATGATCGGATGTTGCTAACACTTTCTGATAGTACGTTGACGCTTTTGTCTTAGCATCTGCACAAGTTTTCCACATGAATATGAAAGGGTCGTCCTCCATGTCTTTGCGTTCTTGCAACAATTTCTCCAGAAAATTACGTTGAGCGTCCATTACGCGTGCCTTTAGTGTGGGCAAGCCCAATTCGAGAATACATGTATGTATTCAGTACAAACGTGGCACAGAGGATGTCCGCTAGAAGTGTGCCTGTGTGAGTCATTAAGAATTTTTTGATCTAGAAAATATGAATAAAGTAATCAAGAAATAACAGAGTGACAAGTGAATAAAATGTTCAATTTTTCAGCCACGTTTTATTTAAATTGCTCGAAAATGCTTTTTTTTATTTAGCATCGTAATTTTATTGACTTACATTGTTATGCTTATCCTTTATTTTTTCCGCGGAGAGCAAACACATTACATGGATACAAAAGTTGGAATGAATAAGCCCCTTAAATACCGCACTTGGAAAAAAAACGTTATCATGCTCTCTTTTTATTTAAAAATTCCTTGTGGTTGCAAAATGAGTTGGTTGCGAAATGCGGATTGACGGGGCAAATATCGCCTTAAAGGGGAACTTGAAAAATACAAAAACGACAAGCAAGTAATCACGAATTTGTACCGTTGTACAGTAGACTGTTAGCCGTCAGATCAAAAGAGAAAATTACTATGTACAACATTCGGGGATACATTTTGTCAGCTTTTATTCGTGTGTCGCACCGCACTTGCATTTCTGACGACATCGTCATACCGGAAATTACTTCTTTCAATCTACCCTCAATGCGCATGTGCAGAACGGTTTCGTCACGGCACGGGTCTATCACGCCACACCGGGTATAGCACCTCCCAGGAGCTGCCGCTAGAAGGCGTACAACACTGAGACCCCATTCCCATAGATTTAAGATCGATCTATCCCTGTGGGGAGTCGCACTAGATTACTGTCAGCTTAGCCGGCTTAAGCGTCTGTCCCGTCTACTAAAAGCTGTAAGGGGGTAATTAACTATGGTGCGCGCTAGGCTGACTGCAATTTAGCGTGAAACCCCAGGGAGTTGGGTCAACTACATCTAAATCTCTGGATCGATCTAAATCTCTGGGAATGCATCCTTATTCTCAATAGGTCCATTTGAAGATAACAGAAAATTATTTGTAGTTAATTTTTATTGATATAGCGGTATTACTTTTTCAAGATGATTCAAGATTATTCTGGTGCAAGAGTGTAGGAAAAAAACGAAAATGGCATTAATCCCAAAATATCGACATAGCCTCACCTGTGGGGCACTTCTCTTAGAATATTCTCTTTGAATATTCCATTTGGCTTACATGCCTGAGAAGTGAATCTTTTTTCGTTGAATAAAAAATAAAAAAAAATGTTGTATTATTCCTATGACTTTATTCAATTCCCCTTCAACNATAACAGAAAGACTGTGCCTCCACCCTAACATAAAGGGTCAGCTTTGACGCTTGCATTAACAAAGCGTGTCGCGTCCAGTTTAACTAGCCGCAAGTCAGACATAGACCATGAAGAGGAAAATTATGAACTATTTCATGATCTGGGCACTTACGTCTAGTGTATGGCAAGTTTGTGGTAAGTTGAAAATAAGTCCTTAATCTGTGGATAATCTAAGTGTGAAACATTGTACATTTAAGCGACAAGACATGCATGGCCAGCTTTAACTTCAGCCTTTGACATAATAACGAATGCCCAAGCTTTAGCGGTACCTGTATCGGTCCACCAAGCTTCATGTAGAGCTGGCTTGCAGTGTTGAAATGGGGCATCTCTTCTTCCATTTTAGTCAGTGATAAGTTGACACAAAAGCAGAATAGTAGTAAACATCTTTTTACATCCAAATCTTATTCATGCATGTATTAGGTGCGTGTGAACATGTACTGCTAGCCATGCGCTGGTTCAAATTCGTGAGGGTTATTAAAAGTCGGAAAGTGTGGTTCACTTTCTTTTTAACTGCTTTAAATTGATAAATATACCAGCATCTTAACATTCGATCTCCTCAACGCCCTCCCCCCCCCCCCCCCCCCACCCCCGCCCCTCTACCAACACACGCAAACACAAACATTCAGCGTTTTGATTTTTGTAGTCGGATTTAAGAACCGGGCAATTCTCCTAAGATCAACCCTGCTGGTTAGCAATATGGAGGAATTTGAGACGAAGCTTTTATACATCGACTGCCCCGAGCTGGTATAAAATTATTAACCCTCAGCATTTCCTGTACTATTTCAATGCGATCTTATGCTTCTAGTTCATACTTAAGTCGTATTAATACGTACTCTACTCGTATTTTCTCTGCAGGATTCTGTACGAATACCCGCGGAGAGCTTTTACAAATAGCCTTTGATATGTTATATAATAGAAAGGTATTCGCCAAAAGTTCGGTTATTGTTAAAGCCGATCTCCTATGGACCTGTTCAAACGAAGCGCAATTGGGACCGGAACAACGACCAAAATGGAGTAATTGGAGGGGAAGTTGACAAAGGGACCTACTTTTGTTTATAATTTTTGAACATACTAGTATACCCCCACAAAAAAAGTTATTTTTATTTTTCCTTAAACGATAAAATATGTGCGTTTACGTACATGTATGCGTATGTGGGCGTAATAGTACACATAGAACTGCACGACACGGTAAATGGAAATTGCAACTATTTTCACATCCTATCCTGATTTAATCACTCCCGGGACAAGATAAATATTACACAGGAGAGAGAGAGATGGTATATGATTATATTTCATATCATAACATCAAATTTTGTTTATATTCCTCACTTTCAGCGTCTTCTGATGACTTTTACGCCGCGGCTTACAAACTTAAGAAGAATCTTTTCGAAAACTACGATGCAACCATTCGACCTGTAAAGAACAAAAGCGAAACTGTTGTTGTTTACCTGGATATTAGCGTCAATCAAGTTATAGAAATGGTGAGAGTATAATACATGACTCTAACAATAAATGAAGAAATATGTTAATAAAATAATTGAAGACAGCAATAAATATCCGATGACCTACAGCATTAGAAAGAAATAACATATTGAACTGAATGCTGACAGTTTTGTAATATATAAATATATTGTTCAAAAACGATTATAAGCTATGGAATAAGACAACTCGATGACAAACTGTATAATGTAAATACGTCTTTTCTGTCCACAGAATGCAGCAGAGCAGATATTATTTCTAAGTTTCTGGCTGCGACAGGTGAGACTATTCTGTGTTGAGACATACCGGGGGTATGTGTGATTCTTGATAGGGTTTTCATCTGTTGTGTTAATTTTGAGATTTATTTTGTTTCGTGTGTGTGTGTGAGGGGGGGGGGGGGGGGGGTGAAGGAGGGGAGTAAATCAGAAATATTTTCAATCGTTTTGATTTTACGACTTGAATTCCGAAGGACATGTGGCCAAACAATATATAATTTTGATTAAAAATTCAGTTATCTGTTAATCGTCTTTCTTTTAATTTATTTTTCCTTTTTTAACCATATTTAATAGCAATGGCGTGATGAGATGCTGACCTGGAACGCGACCGAGTATAGCAATATCACACATCTCGACGTGACTCTCGCACAAATCTGGAAACCTGATATAACTATATATAACGAGTGAGTACATCAAAACGCTTGTTAATATAGAAGTGCATTTTTGAAATGAGCACACACATTAACATAATTAATGAATTTGGAGAATTAATTTTTCTTGGCTCTTAACAGATTAGAACATAGCTAATTTCAAACTGAAGGTGCAGTCGATAATGTGTTTCAAGTTTTGTGTTTCAAAATGCACAACGGTTTATGGAAAAGGTGGTATGTATCCTACAGTATAAGTACACAAAGAAGGCACCTCAGCAGCTATGGATGTGCCCCCCCCCTTCTCCCAGCCTGGGTTCCCCATTTTCTTCTAACTGCAGTTGGCTTGTGCAATATACCCGAGCTAATATTTGGTTTTTAAGTGACAAAAAGGGGGAATTTTTTACTTGAAAAGATCCCCCCTAAGATGCCTCTGCTTTGTATAATGAAACAGTAAGGACATTAACTTTTTTCACGTACAGTGTTCGGGAAGAAGAAAGAGATGTAAGTGCGTATCCCGCCTCCGTGACAAGTGAAGGGACCGTGAATTGGAAAGCTCCAATCATCCTAAAAAGCAGCTGCATCATGGATATTTACCACTTCCCAAACGACAAACAGAGCTGCCCCATAAAATTCGGTTCTTGGCATTTCAACGGACTTCAACTGGACCTCCAAAACCAAACTGAATATGGAGACACCAAAACGTTTGTAAAGAATGGAGAGTGGCAAATGGGTGTGGTGCCTGCAGTAAGGACGGTGCAGTACTACTCATGTTGCCCAGAACCATACCCCGACGTGACATATTACATAGTCATGTGCCGGAAGCCGCTGTATTATATCTACAATCTTATCCTGCCATGTATCGTGATCCTGATCATGACGGCTATCAGTTTCTATCTACCGGTGGAATCTGGGGAGAAGGTGTCCTTTGGGGTGACTGCCGTGTTGGCCATGATGGTGTTCCTGCAGCTGGTCTCGGATCTGACACCCACACAGTCTGACGTCGTACCTATTCTAAGTATGAATTTGTTTTAATGTTGGACATTGTATTAAGGTTGTCAACTATCTGGTATTTAGAGCTATCAAAGAAAAAAAAAACATCGACTCTGGTTCAACAATCTTGAACTATCCATAAACCTTTATTCAATTAACGTAAAAACCAGAGAGCTTTGCAAACAATTCCTAAAGCAAGTACATACCAATTAATGAAACAAGTTGGTCTGAATCTGTCAGTTTAAAAAAAATTAAATAGCGTTTTTTTTTTCTTAAGAAATTTGTACTTTTTTTCTAGGTCTTTATCTCGGATGTGTCTTGGTTCTCCTTTGTGCCTCCACCCTCAACAGCATAATAGTAAGCAGCATTCACTTCAAGGGGGAAAGGGGCTTGAAGTTACCGCGCTGGGCTCAGAAGTTCACCATCTTTATGCTGGCACCCATTTTGTGCATGAAAAAAGACGTGAATGAGCAGCTTGGATATACGGACCCGGATGTACGTTAGACCAGACCGATACTGATGCCGTTTTATTCAAAATGACTGAGGCGAAAGTTTCCACCATTTGTCATATAATTTGGAAAATGTTTTGGCTTAATCAGTAACATTTTGTTTGGAATTTTAGATATACTGATCGACGTACCTGCCGTATTTGTGAACTAGTTATACCTACATACATAATATGAATAATCGCCACTTTGGCAACCATTTCTTCATTTAAAATTCATTACGTTGATATATTTTATGTATTGGAACAATGCTCCCCATGCTACTGATATTTACATAATATTGGGCAATCATCCATTCGTTACATGCATCAATACTTTTATCTGTACTCGAGTTCTTAAGAAATATTTCATAATTCTGTTAAAAAAGTAAGTTGTTTCAGTTCAAGGTGTGGTTTGTTTTTTGTATTAATATTTGCATTACCGAAAGAACATTTAGTTCAAGTTTTAAGAATTTATTCAATGTAATTATAATAATAATAATTATTTTTATTATTATCTATGTCGCTTTATCGTCTACAGGAAGACCCCTATGAATGGTTGACAAAAAAGCTGGCACAACCCAACGGAGTCGGCACAAGAAAAATCAAATATGACGCCAGGCAGAGCGGAAGCCAAGGTTTCTCCAATCCCGCCTTTCAAGAAGAAAATACAGAGAACAACAATAGCGATCCTTACCACAACACCACTTTAGTTTTACATGAGATCCTTCGCACCCTGAGAGGAGACGATTTCCGAGGAAAGGAGGCTAGAGCGGAAGCACGATCGAAAACAGAATGGCAGCTCGCCGCTTTCGTTGTAGATAGATTTGTAATGTATATTTACATTCTTCTGACAATTGCTTTGACGGCTTGGTGCTTTGCGATATCCCCACCATGTGACCCGAACGTGTTTGACGGACCACGTGACCTGACTTCGTGAAGCAGGTGAAAGTAGCTACATTATGATCTGACGTACCATGGCGGCGTCTGTAAATTGGTAGCACTTCAGAAGTTCTTGTACACCGCTGTTAGGCAGGAGCCACGGGTTAGCAACGACTTGAGCTGTTCACGCTACGCACGTGGTAGATGAACTATTTCCGGCTGTCGTTTACTGTAGACTTCAAGTGCCTGCAGGACCAGGGACAAAGATCACACAAATTATGTATTCAGAAATAACACTGGAACCAACAATAAGGACATTTCAGAAACTTTAAGAAAGTGTAGGTTCATGTGTCAGAAACTCAACAAACAAAATTATTAGACTGGGATTCCAAAGGCGATTTGCTTTCGTACAGACGCGATTGTGCAAACACAATTGATATGCCAGAGGGCCTCAATCCTTGGGAAATTGTTGCCTACCTCGTTGATTTTGACAATCAGATACGCAACAATAGTGAGGGGTGTTTATTATGAAAATTACCAGTAGTTTCAAAAGCGTCAATTTACAAAAATGGCTTCCATAGGATTTAAGGGGCAACATTGACATGTGTCACCAAGCGGGCGAACAGTCTGTCATCCGGGCACTTTGCCTTAGCAACCGTCAAGTTTACTGGAAATGGGGTATAGCAAACCGCAAAACATGGTGGATTGCATTTGCTTATATGTTAAAGTGGACAGATTTTGTCAAATGATATCATATACTTCACAGTGCTTAACCATATGTGTCGGAGGGGGGGGGGGGGGGAGCCAAGTATGTGGATGATTTCCTTTAAAGGCCTATATAACTACCCACTGTATTACCGTTACGGGATAAAGTCGGCCTCAATTGCATTCGCAAATGTCAACCCTAAATGTGAATGGTGATTAAATAAAAAGGCTTTTTTCGAATGTGGAACTTAAGGAAGACCTGGAAAATGTGCTACACTGATAAGTAATTTATTAGATTAATTATCATTATAAGACCCCATTTCCATAGATTTTAGATCAATCTATCCCTGTGGGGAGTCTCACTAGATTACTGTCAGCTTAGCCGGCTTAAGCGTCTGTCCCGCCTACTAAAAGCTGCAAGGGGGTAATTAACTATGGTGCACGCTCGGCTGACTGCCATTTAGCGTGAACCCCCATGGAGTTAGGTCGATCTAAATCTTAATCTCTGGATCGATCTAAATATCTGGGAATACACCCTAAGATTATCACAAACATTATCAGCTTTGCTTATTCGCTTAACCTACACACAATGGAAAATAGAAGTATCATCCCCTAAATCAGAGTAATCAAATAATAATGAAGTAATCAATAATCAAAGTAGGTAGATCTTGAGTAGTTATAATGCCTGGTCTACATATTTTTTTTTGTGAAATTTAATGTTTATAAAATGAGACCGGGAGCATATCATTCCACAGTCATAATTATCTCCCCCAAAGTATTGGTTCAGTAGGGGTGCCACTTCTATTGTCCACTGGCAAACAAGTAATTTGGTAAGGAAGGTGTTCCTTAGTCTTCGCACAGTCGATTGTAACTTAGGGATGCATTATCTACTCTCTGACCACAGGATGCCCTACATGTAGTATTCTGTGATAATAATTTTATATCATGCTCATACTGTAATTTTGTATTCTTTTTATAGAGGACCCTGATATTTTATTGTTGAAATAAGCAACTTCCTTTACTTGACCAAAGAGTTGTATTTCTAATGACACTAATGACACGCTAATTTCAACACATCTGTCACCTTGTGACGGGCCAATTTAACTGGCTATGCCAAGGGCTGTAGCCGGCTGAAAACTAGTGAGTGTTGTCGATGTCTTGAGTTATAATTATAGCAAGCTAATTACTAGCCCATTCAGGAAGTTGAAATGATTTAGCTACTTTTAGAAATTGCACGTCACCTATGTCAAACAGACAAAAGTGTTGCATTGTATTGCTCTTAGAGGTGGATTCTTCGAAAAGGAAAGAGAATCATTAACACTACGGAAATATAGGCCAAAAAGGTCCTATAATTATATTATATTATCTTATGCACCCTGGGAGCACCGCGCACAAACATCTAGGCATGAGCGTAATTTTATTGGCCCGCTTTACAAAGGAACACAAAACACAATAACGACGTTCATGCTCTCCTTTTATTTCACCTACCTATAATAGAGTGACTTTGCCTACGCGTTTACATTAAGGGGCAGCTTTGACGCTTGCATGAACACAGCATTCCACGTCCACTTTGACTTTCTTCGGGTCAGTTCAGGCCATTGGGAAGACCACGAAGAGGAAAATTATGAATTATTTCATTATCTGGGCAATTACGTCTGCAGGTGTATGGCAAGTCTGTGGTAAGTTGAAAATAACTCCTAAATCTGCGGATAATCAAAATTGTAACATCGTACATTTAAGAGGCAAACCATGCTCTGCATGGACAGTTTAACTTCGGGGATGTCTTATTATATTTTCGATACATCAAGCTTTTACGTAGAGCTGGTTTGCTGTGCTGAAATGGAAACTCTCTTGTTCCATTTCATCGCTTTTAAGCAGCCATAAAGTGACACAATAAAAAAGGTAGGAAAATATTCTTACTCCAATTTTCATTCATGCAGGTATTAGCTCTGCGTGAATGTGTACTTTGTAGCCATGCGCTGGTTCAAACAATTAAACGGTTTTTCATGGTTCGAGGTCATGTGGGTTATTAAAAGTCGGAACGTGTGGTTCACTTTCCTTCTACCTCTCAATTCATTAAGCCACAACAACAGGGACCGGTCACTAGGTCTTCAACTTGTAGCCATTTACTCTAGGAAAATGCTGTTTTAGAGTAAAAAAAGCTGGTTAATTTTACGGAGATAGAGCCTTTACGATGTATGTACCCAAACGCTGGAAATGGTTACCCGCTGAAAGAAGAGCAGTGGCTGACATAGAATTTTTAAAGAGACTTTTTAAGGCTTATGTTTTTTAGAGCAATGTATTGTTTAAAATCAAGCAGTTTTTATTCCTTTAGATCTAAGTATTCTTAATTGATAATCTTTAAATCTAAAACTTAAAATTTGAAGTTATTAATAAGCTATATCTGCAATTTTTAATTAATAAGCTATATCTGCAATTTTTAATTTAGTTTCAGTTTGCTAGTTTTTTAAAAGTTTTTTTACATTAGCTCTCAACTTTTAGGTGTTTCAAGTCTTCATTAATTGTAACATTTAACTCTTTTAAATTGTAACATTTAATTAAAAACTGTATGGCGCATTGATATTTTAAATGGAATGTGCCATTATATAATACATTATTATTATTATTATTATTATTATTATTATTATATCACACGTTAGCCTACATTTTTTTATTGATCATCAAGACAAATATTACACCAGAGAGAGAGAGAGAGAGAGAGAGAGAGAGAGAGGTGTATGTGATAATATCTTGCATAATAATACAACAAAGTTATTTTCCTCACTTGCAGCGTCTTCTGATGACTATTACGCTGCGGCCTACAAACTTAAAAAGAACCTTTTTGCGAATTATGATGCAACCATTCGACCTGTAAAGAACAAAAGTGAAACTGTTGTTGTTTACCTGGATATAAGCGTCAATCAACTTATAGAAATGGTAAGTGTATAAAACACGATCCTGACAATTTAAAGCATTATATAATGTAGCTCACAGTTATTATTATTATTATTATTATTATTATTATTATTATTATTATTATACCGCTTGAAGTAAAACAGTATGTTATTCTGCAATTAAAAAATAAGAGAGATAATAATGTACGGAATGCCTGTCAAAGGTTTTAATTTCTTGCTATTGTTTACAGTTCTATATTCTCTCATTTCTCGTGTGTGTGTGTGTGTGAGAGAGAGAGAGAGAGAGAGAGAGAGAGAGAGAGCGCAGAATTATGCATATTCATATATACTGGTTAGAAACGATTACAAGTTATCAAATTAGGTAGCAGGTTTCGAACTTTAAGACAACCGTCTTTTCTATTGACAGAATGCGGCGGAGCAGATACTGTTTCTTAGTTTCTGGCTACGACAGGTGAGACCTAACGTGCATTCAGTCATATCTCGCGTATATATGTGATGGGTTAATTCAGAGGGAAGCTGTTAATCTTTTCTGTTTGTTTTTACTCTGAGATTTTTTTGTGTGTAGGGGGGGTTAAAATCAAGAATATTTTCTAAAGTTTTGTTTTTTTACTTGTATTCCGAAGGAAATATGTATGTCATTTTAATTGATATTGAATTAACTGATAATAAACATTCTCATCTTATTCCATTAATATTATTTAGTACGCTATTCTTTTTCGTGTTGTTATAACTAATTTTCATTTCTTCATCCATATTTTATAGAAATGGCGTGACGAAATGCTCTCCTGGAACGCGACCGAGCATAGCAATATCACACAAATCGACGTGGCTCTCGAAGAAATATGGAAACCTGATATAACTATATATAACGAGTGAGTACATCAACACGCCGAGAGCATTTTTAAAATGAACACACATACATACACACCTTTATATAACTAATGGATTTGGGGAATTGTTATGCTTGCTTCTAATCAGAATATAACTAATTTTAAACCAGAGGTGAGATCATTAATGTGTATCATATCTCGTGTTTCAAAACGCACGGGCACGGTTTCAAAAGTTACGGGTTAGAAAAATGATATCTGGATCTTATCAGAAGGGAAAGAAGGTACTTTCGAAGTAAGGGGAATGAGCCCGTTTTGCCCCCCCCCCCCCCCTCACCCTGAGTCGACCACATTCTTGTCCTAATGTTGACTTCTTCAACATACCCGAGCTAATATTTGGTTCAAGGTGACAAAATGGGGAAATGTTTGACTTCAAAACAATCTTCTTTGTATAATGAAATAGTAACGATATTGACTTTTTTCATGTACAGTGTTCGGGAAGAGGAACGAGATGTAAGTGCGTATCCCGCCTCCGTGTCAAGTGACGGGACTGTGAGTTGGAAAGCTCCAATTATCCTTAAGAGCAGCTGTATCATAGATATTTACAACTTCCCAAACGACAGACAGAGCTGCCCCATAAAATTCGGCTCTTGGCACTACAACGGGTTTCAACTGGACATCCAAAACCAAACTGAATATGGAGACACCAAAACGTTTGTAAAGAATGGAGAGTGGCGCGTGGGTGTGGTGCCTGCAGTAAGGACGGTGCAGTACTACTCATGTTGCCCAGAACCATACCCCGATGTGACATATTATATAGTCATGTGCAGGAAGCCGCTGTATTATATCTACAATCTAATTTTGCCATGTATCGTGATCCTGATCATGACAGCTATCAGTTTCTATCTACCGGTGGAATCCGGGGAGAAGGTGTCCTTTGGGGTGACTGCCGTGTTGGCCATGATGGTGTTCCTGCAGCTGGTCTCGGATCTGACACCCACACAGTCTGACGTCGTTCCCATTCTAAGTATGAATTTGTTGGGTATTGTACAAATATGGTCTATAATCCGGTGTTTATAGCTAACAAACAATTATCAACTGTGATTTAACCAACTATCTCCAACCATTTTTCCATAAACCTGGATTGAATTCACGTAAAAACATATTCCTACAACAATTTCATACCTACATGTATAAATGAAACAGGCTGATCTGAGTCCGTCAGATGCTTTTAGAAAAATCAGTAGCGTTTTTAAAGACACCTGTCATTTTTCTAGGCCTCTACCTTACGTGTGTCTTGGCTCTCCTTTGCGCCTCCACCCTCACCAGCATAATAGTTAGCAGCATCCACTTCAAGGGAGAAAAGGGCTTGAAGTTACCGCGCTGGGCTCAGAAGTTCGCCATCTTTACTCTGGCACCCATTTTGTGCATGAAAAATGACGTGAATGAACAGCTTGGATATACGGATCCGGAAGTACGTAAGACCTGAACAGTGTTAATTATAGTTATTGAAGATAAATTAATAAATGTTGAAAGTTTATAACATATGCCATATTATTTGTGGTAATTTTTGGCTTAATCAGCAAAAGATATATCGATCGACCTATTTGTCGCATAATGTAAACCAGTAATACATAGTGCAGTTCCACTGTGACAACAAATATTTCATAGAAATATCTTTATGCATTGAAATAATGCACCCCATTATACCGATATTTTCAAAATATGGAGAAAACATTCTTTCATTATATGTGACATTAGTTTTATTTATATTTGATTTCTTTCACATATGTTTCATGTTGCTGTTAAAATCAATTATTTCACTTTGATGTATTATTATTATTAATGTTTCGTCTATAGGAAGACCCATATGAATGGTTGACAAAAAAGCTGGCGCAACCCAACGGTGTCGACACAAGAAAAATCAAATATGGCGCCAAGCAGAGCGGAAAGCAAGGTTTCTCCAATCCCGCCTTTCAAGTAGAAAATACAGAGAACAACAATAGCGATCCTTACCACAACACCACTTTAGTTTTACATGAGATTCATCGCACCCTGCGAGGAGACGATTTCCGCGGGAAGGAGGCCAGAGAGGAAGCACGAACGAAAACAGAATGGCAGCTCGCCGCTTCCGTTGTAGATAGATTTGTAATGTATATTTACATTCTTCTGACAATTGCTTTGACGGCTTGGTGCTTCGCAATATCCCCACCATGTGACCCGAACGTGTTTGACGGACCACGTGACCTGTCCACGTGAAGCAGGTGATAGTAACTATATTTTTTTATGTGACGCACCATGACGGCGTTGTATGAATTGGAAGCACTTCTTCTGAACCGCTGTTGTGCAGGGACCACGAGTTTTGGACCCCACTTGAGCTGTTTATACCAAAATGACTGTCTATTTATCTATAGACATATCTGTGAATATCTGTGGAAAATCGATGTCGCCCTGGTAGAGGGTAAGCTGTTCACGCGGCACACGTGGTAGATCCGTTGCAGTTCAGTGCAGTGCGTTAGCACACGCACATATAGGGGTTGCACAGATTCCCCAAAATTATGCCTAGTTCATTCTCGTTAGATGACGTCACATATCGACGATTGGACAACGGCAGTTTTCTAAATAGCACGCAATACGGGAAGTAAATGTTACTGTATCTCTGACAATACAGACGTCTTAAAATGATGCAAAAAGACCTGTCACAGGCACTAGGAATGGCAATAGTCACAATTTCATAATAGATTGCTGGACTATGAATTTTTAAAGTAAAGTGATAGATAATCAATGACTTGAAAACCACAAATTCAAATTATATACTTATTTTTAATAAGAATAAGAGCGAAAATATGCAATATCATATTGTATGTATTTATTATAAGAGTAAATGACGTAGTTTTCAAATCGAGCTTCATAGTTCGTCGTTTGCGAAACCTCCCTATTCCTTTAACGTTTGGCTTATAAGTAGGTAGAGGTGTCACCAAATTTCCGATACTATTACAGCGACTGCATGTGATGGCGTAATTTACCAAGTCGTCACCCGTTCTTACTCAAACAGATATGGTAGTCAGCTAAAAGACCGTAGTCCGTCTGCCATTTAGGCTTCCTTGTAAAAGTGACATTCGTCTCAGATACTGACATCGATACTTCCTGCTATCTCTAACCTTCCGAGTTTACTAATACTATGGGGCCCAGGATTGTAATTCCTAGGACTACTATTCCTGTCACATCGTCTCCAAATGCAGAGATACATACACTGCATATACAATGGTCATGAATGCAAAAAAAAAAAAAAAACTTTTTCGTTCGCAACATTGAAAATTTCGTACGGTCTACCATTAGGCACCATATTTCTTTAAGTTTCGGAAATTTCATCGGATCTTATTGGCTTGCATGTTGGTGCATGGTGTTATTGTCCAGTCATAAGAAAAATAAGAAAATATGATCATACTTATTTTTAATAGTACTATAATAATTACTATTAATTACTATTATATAAGTTGAGCTGATAACAATAAATCGATAAATAGACAATTAACTGTCTACCATTTCAACTCTTAGCAGACGTTGCAGCTCTTCTTGCAGTTGAAGAGCATGTACTTGGGGTTTTTGCTGCACTCCCCTCTCGAAGCCCAATTCTGACAGTTTGAGTTCTTATCTACGCAACTCACTCCTGAAATCAAAGTTATTTTTCATCTGTTCGTAAACTTGGATATATGTACTCACACACCAACTGAAGTATCTAATCCTGTTTGATATGATATCTAGAAATACTGCTCCAGTCTATCATAAAAAAACACATTAAAATGCCAATAAAAATTACTTGAACTTATCAATAAAGGTACAGTCTATGGCCTTGAAAATCCTCAAGATGCTCGTTTTGACCATCCACAGCTTTTCATAAAACCTTACATACACCTTAAAATGATTTAGCTCCTTTTAAAAATATTTTTCTGGAGCGTGCCTGATACTGATGTTTCCGTAGGAGCTTATAGGAAAATGGTCGCTGTTATAATGACTGGCCGGCTAAAATCAACCTTTATAATATAAATTTCATCAAAGGTCGAATCAAATTGAAGAGAAGGATAGATTAATGATTTATGAGATTGCTTATTTTCCCGGGGAGATCAAGTTTGACGGGTAAATCTCATGAATTGTACCTTAAAGGTGATCGCAATTTCTTTTGTGATATTTCGACCTCGATCCACATAACTCGTAACATCTCGCACTGACGAGATATTACAAACCTCGTTATCATGTTGTTTTGGCCTTTTTCATTTTTTTTACTTAGAAATGATGCTTTTCATGTATGCAACGATCAACATGTCTTTCCAAAAAATTAACTGTTTTTTTCCGGACAGACTAGACAGAATATTTGGGTTGTATTTACAAATTTAACAAATTACGCCCATAAGTTATTTCATTTTATTAAAAATTCTACTTTCAACCAAAACAAAGTTATGCCGGCTATACACTTGCCAATCGGTATTTATCTACAGTCAGTAAGTACTTTCACTATGATATGGCCAGACCATACTTACCGGAGCACCGGTTACAGCTGAGCTTACAGTTGGATAACATGTAGACTGGGTTCTTCTGACATTCGCCTCTTTTAGCCCAGCTTTGACAGTATTTATTATTATCTTTGCAGTCACCTGAAATGTAGTCAATCTGGGTCTTGAATACTGAATAAAAGTATCAGATTCAGATCCATATCTTTAAGACCTCCCTCCACATAACTCGTTACATCTCGCACTGACGAGATATTACAAACCTCGTTATCATGTTGTATTGGCTTTTTTCATTTTTTATTTATTTAGAAATGATTCTTTTCATGTATGCAACGATCAGCATGTCTTTCCAAAAAAATAAACTAGACAGAATATTTGGGTTGTATTTACAAATTTAACAAATTACGCCCATAAGTTATTTCATTTTATTAAAAGTTCTACTTTCAACCAAAACAAAGTTATGCCGGCTTTACACTTGCCAATCGGTATTTATCTACAGTCAGTAAGTACTTTCACTATGATATGGCCAGACCATACTTACCGGAGCACCGGTCACAGCTGAGCTTACAGTTGGATAACATGTAGCCTGGGTTCTTCTGACATTCGCCCCTTTTAGCCCAGCTTTGGCAGTATTTATTATTATCTTTGCAGTCACCTGAAATGTAGTCAATCTGGGTCTTGAATACTGAATAAACGTATCAGATTCAGATCCATATCTTTAAGAAGTAGAGTCAAATTCTTTTGATAATATTGCCCTGTTGCAAAATATATCTTACAAACAAGTACCCGCTCTGGGTCCAACGCAGCCTTTAAAAGGCAATTCCCGATGCTTGTTACTAATTAGAATTAAAGCCGATATTCTTTTTGATTGATCAAAATCGCACAGCAATTGTGAATAATATATAAAGGTGACCAAGTGTATGTCTTGAGGCAACTCGAGGCAATGCTTTCGCCCTACCTGTACCTGTTCCAGATGAGTCACAGTTCATCCTCAGAGTTTGGGCAGCTTCGCGTGCTGGAATAAGAAATAGTTATCAACAGCACAACTTATTTACCATTTTTCTTTTCTCAAATGTAATGTTTATCCAAATTTGATCATGGCACTTATATCCATTCGAATGAAGGCATAATCAGAGGTCCGAAAGGACAAGGTGTTGGTAATGAACTTCTTACCGAAAAATACACCGTATTCCACACATCTCACAAATGATAATTGGCCAAGACAAAACAAATAAGCCCAGTAAAGCATTTCACAATCGCTTAAACTGACAATAAAACACGCAGTTTCTTTGAACAACAGCTGAACTAAATTTTTTTTCGTCCCTTAAAAGGATGTCTGTTTAGATAGTGAAATAATGGAGAGGGAAGTTCATTTCGTTGATTGAAAAACTATAACTAACTTAGATGAAGGTTCATTTGACAATTGATATCCTAGATCAGTGATATCAAAAAACAAAGATTTTAAAGTTAAACCGTTAAAACAAAGACAGGAGGCAACGGCTTACCACGTGACTTAGCACACCTCTTGATGTAGTTGTTGTTACACGGGAAGATCTCCTGGATCAGTCCGTACACAGTGGGGTCATAGGTCCTCAGTTTGTCCCTGCTGCTAACTGGGCCGTGTACGCCATTAGCCGTGGCGCTGTGGGTATTCGCGCCAAAGTAACTCTGTACTGCCTCCGCCTGTGACAAAATAAAGGTAACCTCAGAACTTCTCAGACGCCAATCCAAAAGTTAAATACATCTTTGCGTCAATCAACAGGAATTATCGACTTGTAAACTTAAAGTTAACGTATACTTACCCGTGCATTTTCCTATACTTTGGATACGTACAGGGACATGCAGGCGCACACTTTGGTATTATTTGGAAAATATGTAATCGGTCTGAAGGAAATTCAAGATAAATTCGACTAAATCCGACCTATATGCATGATATATCTACATGTAGGCCTAATCACATAACGTTGACAAAAGTTCAAGTCGTACAGCAAAATTTACCCAGTACTCGTTGGCATTGGTCATGGCGTAGGTTTTTGCCCATAATCCTCTGGATTTGGCGCTATTATAGGCACTCTTGAGGCGGCTCTGGAAAGTGGACACACTATAGGTGGCGCCTAAGATATGAAGCGCATGCGCAAACTCATGGAGGGCGATGTCTTCACTGCGGTACCCGTCTTTAGTGTAGCAAAGGAGGTTCTCCTCTGCGCTTGTTGCAACCGGTGCTGAGAGTGTAGCCCCGAGACCACGTGCACGCTTGTCCCAGTAGGTGGGATCGAGGTGGGAGTGCTCTGGGATGTCGGTGGTGACCTCGTTTTTACTCATGACGGCAAAGCGGCCGAAGCGCTGGTAATACGCAGTGCGGACATCGAGGCGGTCGGCGAAGAGAAAGCGCACGGTGTAGCAGGCGCGGCGGAGTGCATCATTTGGGACGTTTCTGGATCCTGGAGGTTATCAAAACTAATGTTTTAATTTTCAGAGAGGAAACAACAAAGACAGGTTTTCAACGAATTAAACTTCATTTTTACTCCTGAAACGTCTGATGTCTAATAAATGAAATTTCTGCTAGATTACTAGGTTTGCCTAGAAATCTGGACCTCATTTGAACTTACCAAGCACCGGTATTCCATAAGCCTCAGTGTATTTCTGGTAAAACGTATCCAACCCTTTAGGACCCATGTTCGTGGGACTGCGCAGGCTACTGGGTACAGATCTTACGTAACTGCAGCTGTGGGAATTGGTGGGAGAACCTGGTCTCTTTCCCGCAGCCCTGGACGCCCTTAAGCTGATCACAGCGGCTGAAGAGACCGCTGATGATATCAAAGAGAAATTAAAATGCGGCAAATAATTTATGAGATAAAAAACTTCTGTGGTTCAAGGTAACCTGAGGCCTACTCATATCAGTACTTATAGTCGAAACATTTGTCAGGATTGATGCACATATACGCTGCCAGGCCCCATGAAAAAAAAGCAATAACGTTTTTCAAGGACGATATGAAAAGTAAAAAGATATTTTTCAGTCAATTCATAATTAATTCTCGTTGTCACGGAATNAAAAAAAGCAATAACGTTTTTCAAGGACGATATGAAAAGTAAAAAGATATTTTTCAGTCAATTCATAATTAATTCTCGTTGTCACGGAATCACATTCGAATAATTTGCCTTCAGTTATTTTACAGTCATCCACTTATATGTATGTTTACAAGCCATATCCAAATGTAGTGTGAAATCGCAAGCGAGAATGCGCGAAATTTTAGTTGAACTGGTAGTATTTGGACCTCGTCATCTAGCGGCAGACCAACGGAGCTGGTATGCCAAACTGCCCGACGCACGTTGTCTGTTTTTAGGGTTTTCCTGTAAATTTCCCCACTTTCCAAACCAATAACCAGCATTCTTTAAATTTGAAAATAATGTGGATCGAAAAATACTGATTACCACGTAATAAGGGTGCGCTTTTAAACATTTTATCCATTTTTGTTTGACCTAGCTACGCTTCGAAAATATATCCCCCCCCCTCCATTTGATCGTTGGGGTCGGTCATATTTCTTCTTTCTGAAAATTAGTGAGTTCATTACTCGACGTATTATGCTGTTCTTTGGAAACTAAATGTATAAAATAAAAATGCCTACCTGTAATAAACAAGATCAGAGTGGTCTTCATCGTTCTTCAATACCTATGCACTTTTACCGAGTTACGGCGATATTGTTGTCCCTGGTATATAAGAAAACATAAAAACCGTCATTACATTTAAAATAAAGGAAAAGTTTGGTCATCAGAGGGTTTGATCAACATCTGTTGAAAGAATTAGTACCAGTATATTTTCATTAATCAACAACACACAAATAAATTGTAAAAGATAAAGAACCAACATTTCACGTTTACTTAAATTATCACCTTTTTGATAAATTTGGCAACATGATGATCGATGCGCCCCCCCCCCAAACACACCCCTAATTATAATATCTTGGATGTGTCGATATGTACAGCACAAATACATGTGTACAAAACAGAGAGAGAAATTTATACCGTGTATTTACCTGTGCCGGTAGAATAGTCTGTGGAATAGGCAAGCTACGGAGAAGACTATAAAGACGAGTGCGTGACTGACTGACATAGGAGACGTCTTTATCATTCCCTTTTATCTTTATACTCAAACAGGTCCTATTGCTGTGTGTCTATATTTACCCTTTTTCTTAGTAATTTGACGATGTTTACGATTTCTAACAAGTGGTTTCGTGAGACGACATCAGATAAGTCTTAATGTTTCAGTTATTTCCTAAATGAGATAAGTTAATATATACAAACAAAACATTTATGCATCAGTAGGCGTCTGTTACATTTACTTAATGTGCATGGTTTACCGTTACGAGAATAAAACAATCTGTAATACTTTGCAGCTCTTAACTGGCCTCAGATCAAATTATCAAAAAAGATAAAAAAAAAAGGGACCACCTGGTCTTAATTTTGTCACTGAGAAGCTCTGTTCTGGACGCACACCTGTAAAAGTCATTAGGGAATATCATGCGTGGTCCTGAAATGTTCTCTTGCCTGGATCTGTTTGATCTCCGATTTTTATAGATTAATCTTTTAAGCGTGGGTATGCACAGAATGTTATAAATAGTTATATTTTATTTAAACATGCACACTGCGGTTTTGTAATATTGATATTTTTATTTGTTAAAAAGACAAAAGATTTGCTGCAAGGCTACTTTCAGGATTCTGAGTATACCAGCTTCTTATTCTTGAAAATACATCCCACGTATTATTCTAAGGTATCTGTAAGAAATCATTCCTACCACAAGAGTGGCACAGGAACTACTCATCTTGAATAGCAAAAAAGGCTTTATCTTAGAGAGCTAAATAAAAATATAACTCCCATTTAATTACCTTTGTCTAACAATGTACAACTATCGGTAAAAAACTAATAATCATCAATCAATTTTCTCATTTGATGATAACTATATGTAAGGAAAACGAATTACTATAAATGCAACGGTGAAAAAAAGGCACGGAAAGGTAAAAACTAACAAAAGAGAAATAGTTGAGTAAGAAATTTACAAGGAAATGGGAACGACAATCTAGACGGAACTACTTCTACCTCGAAAATACAATACACATCTTATTTCATGACAACCGTGAAACACGTCCTACCACAAACATGGCACACACGGGCTAACATCAGGACCAGGTAGCGAAAAAGTACTAAAACTTTTGCGGAGTGATGGTGTTCCACATACGGGGCAAATTTAGTATGAAATCATTTTAGTTTGCAGGATTTTTCCCCTCAGCTATCCATTTCCAAGGATATATCCTACATATGCTCAATGAGGTACTGATCTAAGGACTGAACTGGTCATTGGGGGTTCTGGGTTTGGTTCGCAAATAACCAGGTTTTAGTTTGAATGAGATTTTATGACGCGAGATGCATAAATCTTACATTACAAAAACATCTAATTCTTGCATAGTTAATTCAATGACTTTATTATGAATATATTAATATATGATTAATCTTATTGATATAAATTTTGAATCGTTCCGTTCACATATTTAATTTTCGGGAGGTTTCAATAAAAATTACCCCCTCTCTAAGACTGTGCTCCCAATCCTAGATCGATCTAGCAGGATCGGCCCATCTCCGAGAGGTTTCTCACTAAATTGCATTCAGCTTAAGCGGCTCTGGTGTCTGACATGCCTACTGAAGCTGTTAGGGGGTAATTTGCAGCTTCAGTAGGCGAGCCAGACACCATGCAGAGCTGCTTAAGCCGAATGCAATAGAGGGTACCGGAGGAGATAGGATTGTGCAGGAAGTGTGACGTCATGTGACGTCAAGTAGTGTAAGACGTCAACCTGAGTGGTGATTTTTAGCTGGAGGCGAAATGGGAGTAAAGACGTGGATTCAGAGAAAAAGGGCAGTTTTTCCAACAACATAGAAAACAATTTTTTCTTTTGGTAGTTTGGGTAGAAAATACTTGTGGAAACAATGTGTACAAGAAATGAAAACTTGTTACGATACTTGGCGGTTCAAATTCGTGATTAATTTGCAGTCAGTTTGTTTTGAAATTTATGCTGCTTCGACCGACAGCGCGACAAATAGCGTCAAGGGAAAAGCATTCCCGCGAGGCTGTAAATCGTCGTCATGTGGACTTTTTTGCATGTATGTAATCTGATATGCCCATATCTAATTATTTTTGGGTGTCTTATGGCATGTTGGTATATAATTTTATTCCCAGTCATAGGAGAAATAAGAAAATATGACGATGCTTATTTTTACCATATGATTATTTAGCAACATAAAAAGATAATCAGACGAACTGATAACAATTATCCGATGAATAGACAAATAACTGTCTACCATTTCAACTCCTAGCAGACGTTGCAGCTCTTCTTGCAATTCGAGAGCATGTACCCGGGGTTTTTGTTGCACTCCCCTCTCGAGGCCCAATTCTGACAGTTTGAGTTATTATCTACGCAATTCACGCCTGAAAACATAGAAAGATTATTCGTACGATTGTAAAGTCTGATATGTGTGTGTTTGTGTGTGCGAAAAATAGAAAACACCAACAGAAGTTAAATGATTCCTCATCGTGATGCATTACATGCCAAACGAAACGCTAAAAATCTGTTGACCTTATTGAATGGAATTCGGTACGCAGTACTTGTACCTGAATCAAAAATGCTCCAATCTATTAAAAAATAAGTTAAATTGTCTGTTAAAATTACATGATCTCATCATTAAGGTTATCTCCATTTTTATGCTGATTTTTGGACCTCTGTCAACGTTACAGGTATCATCTCGAGATGACGAGATGTTACAAATCTCGTTATCGTGTTACGTTTTGGCTTTTTTCATTTTCTACTTAGAAATGATTCTTTTCATTTACGTATCGATCAGCACGTCTTTCCAAACACTTAACTGTTTATTTTTATTACAGAATATTAGGGTTGTATTTTCATTGAACAATTTACACTCATAAGTTATTTCATTTAATTATAATTAAGTTTTAATTCCAACAAAAACAAAACAAATGATTGTATTTACATATAACAATTTATGCCCATAAGTTATTTTCAACCAAAATTAAATTCTACCGGGTATACATTTGCCAATCGATATTTTTCTACAGTTTTTTAAAAAGTTCTTTCACTATGATAAGGCCAGACCACACTTACCAGAGCAACGGTTACAGCTGAGCTTACAGTTGGGCAACATGTAACTCGGGTTCTTCTGACATTCGCCATTTTTAGCCCAGCTTGGGCAGTATTTATTGTTATCTTTGCAGTCAGCAGTTGTGCCTGAAATGTAGTCAAGTACTGTAAGTCTTGAATACTGAATGAACGTATCCCATTCAGATCCAGATCTGTAAGGATTAGTAGAGGCAAATTCTTTTGACAATTATTGCCCTGTTGCAAAACATATCTTACGAACAAGTACATACTCTGGGTCCTACGTAGCAAAGAGGAAGCAAGTCCCGATGCCTTGTTACTAATTAGAATTACAGCCAATATTCATTTGGACTTATCAAAAATCGCAAAGCAATTGTGAATGACATATAAAAGCGACCAAGCGCATGTCTTGAAGCTACTTGAGGCAATGTTGTCGCCCTACCTGTACCTGTTCCGGATGAGTCACAGTTCATCCGCAGAGTTTGGGCAGCCTCGCTCGCTGGAATAGGAAACAGTTTTCAACAGTACAACTTATTTATCATTTCTTAAATGAAAAGTTTATCTGATAATGGCACAATCCAAGGCCTGGGAAGGCAATCTGTTCTTTTTGCCGAAAAAAACATCGTATACCACATATCTCACAAATGATTATTGGGCAAAGCAAAACAAATAAGTAGCCAAGTAAAGCATTTTACCAGCGCTCAATTTGACAATAAAACATGGAATTTCTTCGAACAACAGCCGAATAAAAATTAATTTTCTTCGTCCCCTATATTTGTCTGTTTAGATATTGAAATATTGGGGAGGGGGAAGATGATTCCGTTGTTTGAAAAAAAAAGAACTGTGACTTAAATGGAGGCACAATTAACAATTGATATCCTTGATCAGTGATATTAAAAAACAAAGATTTTAAAGTTAAATCAAAGATAGAAAGCACCGGCTTACCACGTGACTTATCACACCTCTTGATGTAGTTGTTGTTACACGGGAAGATCTCCTGGATCAGTCCGTACACAGTGGGGTCATAGGTCCTCAGTTTGTCCCTGGTGCTGACTGGGCCGTGTACGCCATTAGCCGTGGCGCTGTGGGTATTTACGCCAAAGTAACTCTGTACTGCCTCCGCCTGTGAGAAAATAAATGTAACCTCAGAACTGCTCAGATGCCAATCAAAAAGTTGTATACATCTTGGTGCGTCGATCAACTGGAATTTATGACTTGTAAACTTAAAGTTAACGTGCTTAAAATAAACATGCTACCCGAGCACGTGCCGGTTTGTACGATACGAACAAGGACAGGCACGCACTTAGTTATTCATGAAAAATTGGCAATCGGTCTAGATATTGGTAACACAAAATAAAGTCAACGAAAACATCCTACTCACAGAAATAATATATAAACACAAGCATACCTCTGTACAGTTTACAAAAGCGAAATATAAGTTTAAGTTCTACGAATACACCCACCCAGTACTCGTTGACATTGGTCATGGCGTAGGTTTTGGCCCACAATCCTCTGGATTTGGCGCTATCATAGGCACTCTTGAGGCGGCTCTGGAAAGTGGACACACCATAAGTGGCGCCCAAGTTATGAAGCGCATGCGCAAACTCATGGAGGGCGATGTCTTCACTGCGGTACCCGTCTTTAGTGTAGCAAAGGAGGTTCTCCTCTGCGCTTGTTGCAACCGGTGCTGAAAGAGTCGCCCCGAGACCACGTGCACGCTTGTCCCAGTAGGCGGGATCGAGGTGTGAGTGCTCGGGGATGTCGGTAGTGACCTCGTCTTTGCCCATGACGGCAAAGCGGCCGAAGCGCTGATAATATGCAGTGCGGACATCGAGGCGGTCGGCGAAGAGAAAGCGCACGGTGTAGCAGGCGCGGCGAAGTGCATCATCTGGGACGTTTCTGGATCCTGGAGGTTGGAAAAATAGTTCATCTTTCAATGTTTCAAGGACGCCAGACGCTTTGAAAGTAAACGACAAAGAAAACTATTTAACAAATGAAACTTATCTTGACTGATGTCTAAGTAATGTTATCAAATTGCTGCAAGTAAGGTTTCAGGCGCCATAACAAACAATCTGGGCCTCATTTAAACTTACCAAGCACTGGTATTCCATAGGCCTCAGTGTATTTCTGGTAAAACGTATCCAACCCTTTGGGACCCATGTTCGTGGGACTGCGCAGGCTACTGGGTACAGACCTTACGTAACTGCAGCTGTGGGAATTGGTAGGAGAACCTGGTCTCTTTCCCGCAGCCCTGGACCCCCTTAAGCTGATCACAGCGGCTGAAGAGACCGCTGATGATGTCAAAGAGAAATTAAAATACAACAAAAGAGGTAACCTGTTTCAAATAGGTTTATGGTTAAAAATAATAAGGAAAAACTCTGGAAATGTTAAGATGAAATAGATTATAAACTGCCTTTGCACTGAACGCGTTGGAGAACATCTCCGGCGCCCTGACTTAGTACTTCCTAGGTCCTTTGGTTTTTTGTAAGTTATTCGATGAATATTATCTAATACCCATTCAGCAATCCTTGGGGTTCCGGTCGTAGGGTACTTTCTTTACAGAACGCTGCACCAGCCGCCTCCTACTGCGTCAGTTAGATGCCAGGGTATGGGTCGTGGAGCAAGTCTTCTGGGTCCAATCAGCAATATTGCACATTGTAATCCCATGTCTTTTACTGCATGCTTCTTGTTCCCCAACTGGTAACAGAACCTTGAAGGATGATCTTTACTGGTCCATTGGCTTCTTGTCAATACTAAGGTACTTGCCAATACTAATGCAGCCACCGTGCTGTGCTACGGTAGGTAGGTAGATCCGGTCTTCTTCCTGCGTCCTGCTGGCGATGGTTGCATGTCATATGGTTTGAATATGAGGTTACGATTAGTCATAATGTGCTTCTGTCAATTCGCGTGTAATTTAAATGTCATAGAACACTTGGTAATCCTCTTCTGGCATATTGGCCATTTCAAGGGATAACAACTGTTTGTATGAGATTCATATTTCATATTCCACAAAAAGTGCCTAGTAAACAACTCATATAAAATATAAAAAGTTCCTTTTTAAAGCCAAAACAGCGTTATATCGCAATTATTCTGGAATCTGTGCTTGCCATCAGATCATGAAGACCTTCATAGATATACATCCGTAATATTCTTCAAAGAGGTTACTACAAAAACATTTTTTTTAGAAAAAAAACATGGACTAACTTTGAATGTCGGAATGGATATTGTTATTTTTAATATAAATGTTAAGGCATCGAGTCATACATACCTGCAATACACATAAGAAGGAGTCCTGAATAAGCGGGCTGGCGAATCATGTTTCTGGAGTGAGGGTCCTTGTGTCAAGTGTTAACCTTCAAATTCACGTTCAGACAGACTCTGAGTTGTCACACAATTAAGCCTGCTATCACAAGCCTACCCTCTCGCACAGGCCCTGAGTTGCCACACACCATTGCATGATATCGCAAGCCTACCCTCTCGCACAGGCCCCGAGTTGCCACACATCATTGCATGATATCACAAACCTACCCTCTCGCACAGGCCCTGAGTTGCCACACATCATCGCATGATATCGCAAGCCTAGCCTCTCGCACAGGTCCTGACATAAGTAGGTATTTCCCGGTAACGAAACTGTACTAATCGTGACGGGACGGCTTAAATTGCAGTGCGAAAAATTCTTGTGGCCATGAAAAATAATTTGACTTTCCGTAGGGAAATTTTATAGTGAAACTGCATTGTAAAATGACACATTTAAATATTGTAACCTGCCAAAACTCCGTTTCTTTCAAATAAAAAAAAATTAAAGGAAATAAATTCACATATTTGATATATAAGGATGGAAATATGTAAGACCAAAATAGAATTAGGGATAAATTTTATTTTATTTTAATCAATATTTATTATGTTTATCCATACTTACAGAAGATGTATAAGGCACCTTTTATTCGCGTTGTAAAGGGCCCTTTAATGGTTTAAAATATTCGGGTTCTAAATGACCAAATGTAGCAAAGTGTACCAGTGTGCATAACTGGGTTAAAATGGCAAATTCTTACAAGAAGCACTCAAAACTGCTGAATATGTGTATATTTACTTCATGGTTAAATGAATGAATTTTTAAAATAATTTATTTCATTTTATATCCAAAAGCATTCAACTTTATCGCTAAAAGCAAACCATGCCCCGGCATTATCACCATAAGAAAATGTACGAGGTTTACCGTAAGCGGGTAGGGTCATGATGCCGTAGGCGTAACGATGTCACGTTTATCGTGACTCGAGCTCGCCAGCTTTAAGGATATCAGTTGATGCCGCAGCAGATCATTGTAACAGCCCGGACCAGAAATGATGCGCTTGTTTTACATGGAATTATTTTTTTAAGTCACGTGACATGTGACAAGAATGGGAAAGAGTCCAGCTCTTGCCAATTCAGTTCGTTTGTAAGGGTGAGGGTAACGACGAACCTTTCGATAGTCTTTTACTTCTGGTGGGTGTTCAGTGGAAAATCATGTAGGTAAACTTGAGATGCAGGTTAACTCAGGTAGCATGTATTATGCACGTGACAGAAAACAATAACTCTATTGTGAAATTAACAAAATAAATAAAACTATATTTGACTTTGGCCTTTTTCATCTTTTCTTAACACTAAAATAATTTCTACACTTGTCGACTCGTAAAAATATTAAACTTGCACACAATAACTCCCTATTATTTTACTTATTTGATTCCTCTTTAATTATTACGTGTAATTAGAAAATTAAGACGTAAACATTACTTCAATTGTTTAACGTGAAATATGCTAGGAGGGTACATTAGTAGAAATGTAGATAAGACCAAGATCATTTCTTTCAGCGACGGATATCTGTAAACATGGTCAGTAGACGAAATACACTTTGATTTATGTTTAACCAGCATAGTAGCTGAACAGGGTCGGTCCAAGTTTTCTTTTTTTAATTTAAATTAAATGATGTGGATACGAAAATCTACAAAGCAGGCTAGACCTTTATAAAGTAAACTAAATTAATAAATAAATAAAAACATTTTCCTGGAATTTTTTTTCAAATTGACAAGGTATACCCTAACCGTTGAGAAAATCCATCGAAAATCATCGTTTTTTTGTGCGTTCTGTATTTTAACTTTGGAAGACTTGATCAAAATTGTCAGCTTCCCTCTCCGTGCACTGTCTGCAGAACGTGCAATTTATCACAAACTCTTGCAAGTCACTTATGTATTAAATACTGAGCCCCGGGTGTTACTTTAACGCGCCAAAAAGGAGTCGCAGGAAACGTGTTGGTAGGAGAGGTATACTGGATTAATACTTAATATGGAATATTATTTTTGGCTAGCAAATTTTCTATAAAAGATTTATTTTCTCTTTAACTATTTTAAATCCGAAACTGAGGTGTCACTCAATGTGTAGCTAGATGTGTTACGTAATTACCACACAACTCTCGAAACAATGGATGCAGGCAGTTATATGCTCTGTGGTCCGAAATGTGAGGGGTGGTCTTTTCGGCAATTTCTGCGGATGCAAAGCCGACCCTCCCCCCTCCCCCAATTGGCGTGAGGTTAGGGGCCCGCTGAAGGGCCCCGAAAAAAATTGGTATCTTAGAGGGAGAACGGTGCCATTTGGTACAGTTTAGAACTATGATTCAGCTAGTCAAAATTCTCATTTCAATAGGGGACCAGAAATCGAAGTTGGGGGGAGGGAGCAGGACCCCCTCACCCCCCTGTAAATCCGCCACTGTGTCCTCGTATCACAACAAGAACACTGGATCTCTGTGCTGGTCGTACAAAGACAACCAGTGTCCCCAGAAAAGAGTGGCAGAATATCATTCAAACGCCAGTTTCAAGGCCCCTCGTTTCAAGGTCCCTAGTTTCATTCCACGAAATGACGTCGCCGTTTGCAAAGAAAACTCAACCATGCGACGCGCTTATACCTTTTATGGAACCATCTGGTGGTGAGTTTTAAGTTAGATAGGTGTAAACAAATTCAGTCGAGAATAAAAAGCGTATTTATTTGAGACCCTGTGACCGAAATTTGCTCTCCACGATCCTTTTTCTCTTGAGTCTCGTGACTAGTCGGAAGCGTAAGAGAATTCGCTGTTCTCTTACTACTTCCTGCATTTCTATTGAGCACCAAATCCGTTGAAAATCAGATACCTTTAACGAGCACACCCTAATGCTAATTGTGTGTGAATTTGGTGACATTTGATGGCGTCTTTTCAATTTTATAGACATTTCTTTACATCTGTAGAAGTCACAGTGAAACAGTCGATTTGAGGGGGTACCTCTTATAAATTTTACTAAATGGTATAAAATTTGTATATTTTCACCACTATTTTGTATTTTTTTTACCCATTAATCATGTTAGACACGGTATCCGTAATAAAAAGCACTATATCTAACAGTTCACAGCTGTCAGGTGATCATTTGTAAATAAAAGTACATGAAAATGGGGGTGGGACAACCTTTTTGACCAATGTTGTATATTCCGTATATTGTCTATATCTAAAATATTGATTTAGAGTCAATTGTAAGCATAGTAATCACTCATAATTCAAAAAATTTAATGTCGCCCCATCTTTCCACAACGACCAGTTGTCCGAGACGATTTATAGTAACATCTTTCGGCTTGCAAAGTCCATTTTCTTTGTTCAAGAGAAACTGCTTGAATTCACCATCTGGTGACACCAAGTGTAGACGATGGTTTTTCATGTCTGCTAGAATGATGTCTCCATTATCCAAACAGCACATACCGCATGGACTGTCCACCTGTCCTTCCCCATCACCCAGGGTACCGTATCTGTATTTAAGCTGGAGAGTGGAATCGTACACACGGATGTGATCTTCTTGATCTGTGACGATGACGTCATCATTCGCGCCACAGTGGATGTATTTGTGATAATCTCCCTGTCGGTCTGGTATTGCCTGCAGGACCTTTCCATTCTTGTGGTACACGGTCAGAGTACTGTAACCAGCCACTACATAGTGACCCTTACTGTTGACCGCTACTGCTTCTGGTAACTCACTGTGGAATGTTCTTACTTGGTTTCCTGTCTTGGTGAAGACGATGATTTCATTTGACTCTCGGCATCTAGTGACGATATTACCGTCATGATCAATGGCAGTCCCACCAAATCCATCCTCTTTTCCTAGTCTTGGGTTTGAAATTTTGCCCTGTAGGATAAAGGTACTATCGTAGATGTGGATTATATTCCGTGACTTGTCACCATTACACCAAATACCAACAATGATGTCACCATTTGCATCAGTGGTCACGTGACTGATAGCCTCGTCAGGAGACAGGCTCAGTTCTACTTTGAATGGTGCCACCAGTCTTCCACTCACAGCGGGAACCACGTCTCCAAGGCAACTGTTGATATTGGAAACGCACAGCTCCATGTCGTTGGTGATAAGCTGTAGCTGGGTCATAGCTGCTGGTAGGGTCGGGATGTCGATAGTCTGAACGCTCTCACTGCTTTGCTCACAGGCGGAGGCCATTTGCAAGACATCCATATCGTTCCCATGGTTAATAAGCTTTCTGGAGAACTCTATAACGTTGTCCAGTTGGTTTTGGTTGGCGGCAGCAGTTTCGATTAAACCGTTTAAAATGTCTAATTTGGCGTTCGACTTGGCATCTATTTCTTCCAAAAGATCCTTGGCACATTGACGGCTCATCTTAATAATAAGCTCCAACTGTTTGTTTACTTCATCCTTTGCTTTCGCTCTTCCATATTTTACTGACGCTTTTTGGAATTCAACAGCACTTTTGAACTGATCAAAGAGTCGACTTTTCTTCTCGATGGGTCTCACGCGGAGCTGTAGTTCTTTCTTGCGTTTGTCGGCAGCAGTTTCGATCCTAAGGCAATCATGACCTTGGTGTTCTAAAAACATACAAGTGGCGCAGATGTACTTTTTACACACTGGACAGAAGATTTCTACGGGCTCCTTGTTGTTGTGGTCACAAAGTGCGTTTTGTCGGGCACGCAGCTCTGCCACGTATTCGTCGCTGTCAATCTGGTCGACTGGAAACAATTTGTGTTCACGATTTAACTTATGAAGTACATGGTCCTCAGAGCAATTTCCACATATACTTTCCTCGCAGTTCAAACAACGTTTCGTTGCCGTTGGTGGATTGCGGACATTTTTCAGACAACATACTTCGCACTTCTTGGCATCTTTCGCTTGTTCTACTTGACCAAGTGTGTATGATATGCTTACTAGAAGATGGTTTTTTTGTAAACAACTTACACCGCCCCTAGGGAGGTCACACTGACGTCTACAGATAGGACAAGGGAAGCGAGGCTGACCTTTGAAATTTTTGTCCAAATGGTCTTGGAGGCAATGCTGGCAAAACGTATGAGTACAGCCGAGGACCTTGGGTTCTTTGAACTTTTCGAGACATATGCTGCACGTTAGGAAATCTTCCGTCAGGATTTTGGACAGAGACATGGCTCCTGGGATCAATATCTTAAAATAGAGGAATGGAAAGCATGGATTTAATGATAACGTTTGGAAATTGAGGTCAACACATATCAATAAGCTTTATGCAAACAGTGTAATGTAAGGTATGAGACTTAATGTTTAAATGAAATAAGACAAGTCTGACATAGGCAAGAGAAGTTATGAAACTTCCCGCAAGGATCCTTATGGGGTGGATGTGCAATACTTTACATCACGGCAGAGAGGTGAATAAAATTCATCCGATAATAGGAAACATGACACAGAATATAGCACGTCCGCAAAGTGAAATGATTTTAAATAAATAGAGAAGGAAATGAAAGTAAAAATATACATAAAGGTGCGTAATTTAAACATAAATCAATCAAGTGAATTATGAAATAAATGACAGATGGAAATGATGAAAAAAGGAAGGTAACCGAAAGATTTTTTATAGGGAAGGTACAAGGACGGGCAAATACTTCACAGATATTCAGAATATCAAATATGCAGGAATAAAAAATCTTTTATACAGTGAACGAAGAAGAAAAACCCAACCGAAAATATCAAAGAACAAATATAATAAAATTCTAACTGCGTAGCAACGAGTTGTTTTTACCACCCTACTCAGACGCAGACTGTAATAATCACCTATGCAGTATGTTTTCTGAAAAGAAATCAGATTTACCTCTCTTTTCTCCAGTTATATTTCTTTTCGTGGCAGGTACACGCTCCCAGTCGCAATTTAGATGTGCTGTCTCTCTTGACATGTACACCTGGTCAGGCGAGACGTTCAGTGTTCAAGTCAGCTTTATCAGCAACATGGCGCTATCTCTATGTACACAACAGACATTGTGACATATTTTATTGCTGTTATCTGACTGAATTCAAATGTTTTCACTGATACACCCGACCCAGTTGCATGGTTGTTTAAAATAGATTTGATACAGTAGTTGGCAGATAGATATATAACAGCGACAAACACTGGGTCCGTCAGCTAAATGTTGTTTTGTGGATTAAGTAACCACATTTTGATATTTCAGACGGATATGAGATTTATCATTCCTTCATTAGCTTACCGAGGGAAGTATTGAGGCCGACGGACAAAACTTTAAATGAATATTTTGCTGGGTACATGAGGCTGTTATATGTTGACATTTTAGTTAAGCCTACAATGGAAACAGTGCAGGAACTCGGGATCTCTAAACAATCTCAATAACGTCTCAACAACCGCAATCTGCCCCACATAAGCGAAGTATCTCTTCTACCGATGATGAAAAAGTGTCCTCAATTATTGACATGTAGTGACCTAATAACCATACTTACTCTAGGCAAATGTGTTGCTCGAGAAAACAGATAATGCTCTGATACATGTAGTTAGTAGATAGCCTGTAGTGTTACTAATATTCTTATATCTGTTTGTTACATAATAAATAGTCATAAATTTCCATCCGTATTGTATAAAATATCACAATGCCTGTGGTACATTCACCAACAGTAAAGTACACATTACAATGCCCAAAAAATAATTCATGGGATGACTATCATCATCATTACTTCAGAGTTTACCTTTCTGTAGTAGCATACACGCCATTTTAACTAAGACTCTTAAGAAATGAACTCGACCGACAAAAAACACCTCGTCAAACGGCCTGCCCCCAATCCGTTCAATAAAGAAAGCGTTCACGGCAATATTGCTACTTTCACCATCACGCAATGTATGCGCGCACTGGTAGCTTCCTCCTCCTTCCCTCTTGCTCGAATCTTTCACAACAAATGTGTCCTGATTAAAAGTTGCCAGGCTGCTCATTCCCATGTCTGGTTTGTGGCAGTTAATAACGTGGTTGGCGATGAGCACGTGTTCTTCACTGGGGCGCGCCTCAGGATTTCTGTAGTCCGGGTACGGATCTTCCAGTATATGACAAAGTAAGCGATAACCACTCGGGGAGGCGCCGACATCGGTGGCGATAAACGTGGTTGTGAAATAATCCAATGTTAATAGCCACAAGTTCAGTGCTGTGATTTTTTGCAGTCCTTTCCGCTTCATTGCGCTTATAACCATCACTAAGCCTACGTGGAATATAGGCGTCTTGTGATCAGACAGCTTTTTGACCTTAAGTATAGCCTGAAAAACAATAAAACGACTAAAAAGAGGCGGAAATAATAATTAAAGAATTAAAACGGTTAAGCAAGGGATTTAGCTGTAAGTGGTTTTAGAGTTAGCAAATGTTTGCGCTTTACGTGCATTGGGAAGTACGCTGCCGTATGTGCACAAACACTTCAATATTAAACAAGTTTAACGGGTCCTGCGTGCAGGCATATATAAAGTACGACCTTATTGGGTGAACTATGGATGACAACAAGAATAACGTCTTAAAATTACTGTACATTCTTTATGAGACTAAATTAGGTCACAAAGACATATACAACAGTAGCACACACGTTGAGCCTCATCTGGTCTATCTGCGCTGAAGTATCATAATGGCGATTTCATGGCCAAATTACATTTCAGGGAACTTTTTTTCAACCAAGTGATGTTAAAGTTTGGCAAATCATTTTATGTGTCTGAGTCGTATATGTATACAGAATGTTATATATGTAACTAGAAAAGCACTCCGAGATCCCAGACCTCCGCCAAGGCAGCGATTTTTTATTATTATTGATTTATTATTGATCCGGATCACCACCAAAAACTAATCACTTCTAAGATAACCCATTTCCCACCTACCCTGAAAATTTCATCAAAATCGGTCCATAACTTTTTGAGTAATGTTGATGACAAACAAAACAGACAGACAGACAAACAGGGATGAAAACATAACCTCCTTGGCAGAGGTAATAATATATCATAATGTGAGAATATTGTGCATTGTATTCGCCCAATGTCGACTGCATCGATAGTTAGAATTCCCATATACCTGGTAGTTATTTGCTACCTACCTACTTTCGCACGGACTCTGGCGCAACAAGTGAGGCCAATCCACGTCTGGCTCGCGCGCGCGCGCGCGCGCACACACACACACACACACAGAGAGAGAGAGAGAGAGAGAGAGAGAGAGAGAGAGAGAAGGAGGGAGAGGGAGAGGGAGAGACTTACGTGAAACATAACAGGTTTTCCCTGTTTATAGATGATCATTATTATTCGTCTTCGTAAAGCCTCGACGTCTCCATGAAGCATGGTGTGAGTGAACAGCGATCCCACGGAATTTATGGAAATAGCCTGCATTTCTGCTATGATAGTTTCAGCTATTTTCCCATGAGGTTCTACCCACCGTCTCATTGTCAATCCACCCGTTAGGGGCAGACTCGTCCCATTCCGCGTTGCCATGAGAAGGGCTGCAGCGGCAAAAAGAAATAAAAGTATAGTAACGAAGAAAAATAATCCTGCATACATCCACATCGCGATCTAGAGGAATGTAGAATACTGATGTTGAACTCCCTAAAGTGATGAACCCTTCATGATTCTAGCTGGGATCCGGAAGTCGAAAGCATCGCGAATTGCGCCCGGGCTCAAGCATGGCGATTCGTCGCTATCCGAGCGCTAATAGCGGTATCACCTTTAGTTTCGAGGCTATTATTTGCGACGAGGAAATCCCGCTGCAATGGCCTTTGCGCATGCATAATTCGTCATTTTATAGTGACTTTTATGTTATTAAACATGGCGACAAGTTTGGCTTGCTACTCATAATAACATATAACAAAGCATGAAAGCTTATAAAAGATTGAGTCACTAGGTACCTCTGATAGAAAAACTTGCGGTAAATTTTCACGTGAAGAATGCTAAAGTCAAGTTTTATTATGCATAAAAATTTCAAAATTAAACATTTCATATATCATTTTATATTTTCTGATAAATATTCATCTAAGTAGTCTATTGATAATAATCATAAGTTTAAAAGTTTCATATTGTACATAAAATGAAAAAGCAGAACCAAAGTATTTCCTCAGTGCCCTTCCTCAGTGGCTGTTATTATGATACTGAACACTACTCAACAATGAATAAGTAATTGTATCAATCCAAACACCTGCGCTTCGCTTATTGAGTTGTTTTTTAAATTGTATTTTAACATTGTAACTATCAAACTATTAAAATGCGAAGCTACTGATGCAAGGATGAGTAGTCTTATTATATCACACACGTACTGAAGAAGGTCACAGTATGACCTAATGCTTTAAAATTGGGTCTACTTTATTGTGTACCAAAATGAAACGTTTAAACTTTTGATTATTATTACTACACAGATGAATATTCATCAGAAATTATCAATTAAATTAAATTAATATATTAAATTAAATTATATGAAAAATTTAATTTCAAAATTTTATGCATAACTAAACATCACTTTCTAAAACTGTGTAATTTTTTGTCTTTGATTAAATATAAATAATATTCTGTAGACATTACATTCCATATAAAAAATTTTATTTTTTATTTTCAGTGATAATAAATGTAAACTAGCGATAATAAATGTAAATTTCTCAGACTTTAGTTCTGTTAAACTTGTCTGCCTAATATCCTTTTTCTAACGCACACAATCCTATGTTCTTCGTGTAATTTTCATTATTATATACGTACTACTTTCATAAGCTTATTTTCCTATTTCTTCAAAATTCATCTCACCATTCACACCGGAAGTACACATATATAGGGGAGACCGGGACCAGTTGGACCCCTGAATAGTTGCCCATCAATTTATGACAAAGTAACTATAGGGTAAAAGAATATATCACATCATTTTGTAAAGTGACCGTATCCAATAGTGCTAAGAAAGCGTCGGCAGTGAGTCCAAATGAAATAATTTAGCATCTTAAAGTAACTTTATTAAAGAAACTTAATGGGGGGCCAACTTACTCCGGGGTCCAACTAGTCCCGGTCTCCCATATATATATATATCCCTAATATTCCCAGTAGCCATGATGATGAAAAATGTCCCCAGTAATTGACATCTAGTGGCGTAATAACCATACTTAGTCTCGGGGAAATACTTTGCTCAATAAATAAACTAAACATTACAATGCCTTTCGCGGACATGGTAAATTGAGACATAACTGATCATAACTATTACAGTGTATCATAATGGCTTCAGAGTTTACCTTTCTGAAGTAGCATACACGCCATTTTAACTAAGACTCTTAAGAAATGAACTCGACCGACAAAAAACACCTCGTCAAACGGCCTGCCCCCAATCCGTTCAATAAAGAAAGCGTTCACGGCGCTGTTGCTACTTTCACCATCATGCATTGTATGGGCGCACTGGTAACTCCCTCCTCCTTCCTTCTTGTTGGAATCTTTCACAACAAATGTGTCTTGGTTAAAATATGAGAAACAACTTATGCCCATGTCTGGTTTGTGGCAGTTAATAACGTGGTTGGCGATGAACATGTGTTCTTCACTGGGACGCTCCTCAGGAATTCTGTAGTCTGGAAATGGATTATCCAGTATATGACAAAGTAAGCGATAACCGCTCGGGGAAGCGCCAACATCGGTGGCGATGCACGTAGTTGTGAAGTAATCCAAAAATAACAGGTACAAGTTCAGTACTGTGAATTTTTGAAGTCCTTTCCGCTTCATTGCGCTTATAACCATCACTAAGCCTACGTGGAATATTGGTGTGTTGTAAGCCGGCAAATTCTGGGCCTTTAGTATCGCCTGAAAAACAATAAAACGACTCAAAAGAAGCGATATGAATAGTTATTAAAGAATAAAGATGATTAAAAAAACAATTAAATGAATAGGAAGTTTGGGAAAGGGTAAAGGAGAAACTGGTATTCGGAAAATGAGACCGTCTTATTTTACCAGTGTTTTCTTCAGTTGAACGTAAATTAGTCCGGTAAATTGGTGAAAAATCGTGCATTTATCTATTACCCAAAAAGAATGTTCCTTATTAAAACAAAACAAAAAAGGGTTTTCTGGGATAATTTCCTATACTGACCAATGGTTCATGAATCCTTGCATACATTCAAAGTAAGTCCACGTGTTTCCTAAAAAGTTTGGTTTTCATAATAGTCCTTTAAGTGATCGTTACAGAGGTATAGTCATCTATGAAGGTCCATTGTGTCTGATGGCAAGAACGGTTTACAGATAACTGCAATAACCGAGGCTTTGTGGCAAAATGGATTTTTTTTATTTCTATTAGTTGTTTACAATGTTTTTATTGTGAAATACATATGTGAACCTCACGCAGACAATTGTTGTCCCCTAAAACATGGATGTGACCCGAGGTTCTTTAAGCCCCAATCTATCATATCTGCTGTTAAAAGCATACCAGGATAGCGTTTAAGTTCCTAGTGAAAAATAAATATACTCCAGCCGTTTTGGATATTGGTACTGGTACTTTATGTGGCGGTTTTATAGCATAACCACCATAATGCAGGAAATAATTGTATTGCATTAAAAAAAGTACACTTTTTTTAACTGCAGTTGCCTACCGTATGAACGTTATGCCCCTATTTCACACAGACCACGAATCCCACGAATCGCCAGGAATTGACAAATTTCAGGATTCGTGGTTGAATCGTAATCAGTTCATGAAGTTCTTAAAAAGATTCGTTTATGTTCGTAGTCAGTTCTTGCAAATCTTGATCAATCACAAACTGATTACGATTCAACCAGGAATCCTGAAATTTGTCAATTCCTGGCGATTCGTGGGATTCGTGGTCTGTGTGAAATAGGGGCATTAGACAGACGTTGGTTTTTAAAATATATGTACGAGCAGAATATACAAATAAAGACAACAGACAAAAGGTGTGTATTGTTGACTTCACTTGTCCCAAAACATGGTATCTACTTACATATTATCGTTTCCTGTCAAAATCACCTCAATCAAATTCATCTTGAGAGTTAAAAATAAATTGATGATTGCATTGGCCCATATTCACTCATTCTCAATATACACTGATGCTTTGCATCTGTGCCCCCCCCCCAAAAAAAAAAAAAAAAAAAAAAAAAATTATCCTGGATCTGTCCCTGGCTACAAGTGAGATCAATCCACGTCTTGCTCGCACAATGAGAGAGAGAGAGAGAGAGAGAGAGAGATACTTACATGAAACATTACTGGTTTTCCCTGTTTATAAACGATCATTATTATTCGTCTTCGTAAAGCCTCGACGTCTCCATGAAGCATGGTGTGAGGAAACAGCGACCCCACGGAATTCATGGAAATAGCCTGCATTTCTGCTATGATAGCTTCGGCTATTTTCCCATGAGGCTCAACCCATCTTCTCATTGTCAATCCGCCCTTCAAGGGCAGACTCGTCCCATTCCGCGTTGCCTTAAATAGGTTGATGGCGGCGAAAAGAAATAAAAGTAAGAAAACTAAGAAAACTAAGATAAGTATCCCTATCCACATTGCGATCCAGAGGAATGTTGAACACTTATGTTGAGCTTATTAGGTGTTTCTACAGGCGTACGTCGCGGACGTCTAATTGGTGCCTCTTTCCGGTTTTGAGGACATTGGACCTGCGGCTATACATTTATTTGCTGGGGGTAATACAGTGTTTCCCAAATCATTTGCTACATTTTGCAATATTTACAAGTTTTGCAAAAACCACAACAATTACTTTATGTAGGACTAAAACATTGCAAATACTTGAAAAGCAATCAAAGAGCGCAGACTATCTAGTTAATTAATTAATTAATTACTTCACTCATTTCTCATAATTTCTAATTTATTGCTAATAAACTAATTAATAAGCTAAATTCTTGTTATTATCAATTGCTTAGTTAACTTGTTATTTAACTAGTTAATTGGTTGACTAATTAATTAATGAAGTAAAAATTAATAAACCAACTATTTAATCACCACCCTAATATAGCCAATTACCGACCTATCTTGAAAATTTCATCAAAACCCCTCAACAACTTTTTCCCCCAATGCTGTTAGACATAGATAATACACTGATAATTAACCATTAATTTACACATGCTATATTCGGTCCAAATTTGTCCAAATAGGGTTTAAAGCTTGCTGTTTTGTGACCAAAACATTGTTTTGTTGGGAGATATCCGTGCCTGATGGGCTGGCTGTAGTAGTCTAATTAGTGTACCAACCTTTTTGAACTACAGTGTAGTTTTACGTGAGTGATCAAAGCTTTCCATGACGAGTGTCACATGCGCTATAAATTACAGTTTCGTAACGAGTATACCAACGACCTTTAATAAGGGTCGCCATGCTCCTGGCGAACTCTTTACTAGAGGACAGCTGAGTGATAAAATCAACCCCATACAAAAGTTCGCGCTGGACACACGGGCCTTATAAACGGATTTGGTGTTTACTAACACTACCCGCAGATCTTTTAGCACTAACACCTAAATTAATAACATAACCCACAAATTAACCAGCACTACCAGGGCGGTTGAATATTTAGTGCTAGGTATCGCTTTGTTGGTGCTAAATAATTGTACGGTGCGATGGTTAATTCGTGGGTTTTGTGGTTAATGTTGAAGTTACTGCTAAAAGATCTGCGGGTAGTGTTTATAAGGCCTGACACAGTGGAAAAAAATGTGCTGAATTAGCCAGACACATATCTGTGATCTTGAGGTGAAAAAACAATCCGTAGCTCTGGTAGATGATTCTACTTACACTTTGTCGCATTCACACTTGTCTTCCAACTTGTGCACAGATTACGATATTCGACCTGAATTTTAATTTGTAATATAGATACAAAACACTGAAGGAATTTAATTTTTGCACCTCTCACGCGCGCAAATTATCATATAGCTTTCGTCAATTTGAATGGAATTTTGCTCATCCGTTTATTTTTTATATCAGACTGCAAATTTTTTTGTCACTGAAGTCGTCAGATTAATTGACATCACACGAACCCTGACAAGATGAAAAATCTGTCTTGCCTTCAACGTTGCCTTGTGATTCTCTCTGATTACAATCAGATCAACACACCTCGTTTCCAAAGTACCCGTAAAATCTTCTGCATTCTGCTCAGTGCCAGGTGTGTTAATTTGATCGATTCACGTAAAGCAGTGGCGGATTTAGGAGGGGGGTGTCAGGGGGGTCCTGCCCCCCCCTTCTATTTCTGAAAAAAAAATAACACTAACGGTCTCCTCTTGAAATTAGAATTTTAACTAACTGAATCATAGTGGGCTCGCTAAACCCACGCCAAGGGGGTGGGGGTGGGGGGCTTCGGATCCGCGTACCCTCTTCAGATAATCCTGGATTTGCCCCCCCTGGTAAAGTGATAGTCTGATTGGGAACCCTTAGGCTTATTAACTGTGCTTTGAGAGTAAAATAACAGATTCAAAGTGCTTTCTTTGCATACAGAGCCTGCTGAGTGTGGAAAGGGGTGGGTTACTGTAGCAAAGGGCGGCAAATAGTCTTCAGTATTCAATTGACTTATGATACATATAATTTATGGTTATCAAGATAAAAACTGCTGATAGCAAGCTGCCCGAAGTCATGAAGCTACACCACCGTGTTCTATGGATTTCACACCGCAGTCACGCCCTTAGGCTGGGTTCTCAAAGTTTTGGGTTAAAACTTAGGCCCACTAAAGATAAGTCGGTTATTTTGCGTTTCACAATAGATGTAAGAGTTGACTTACTCAAATTTATATGATGATGTAAGACACCAAAATAACCAAAATGGAATCACTGAAATAACTAAAAAAACAGTTTTGTACGATACGGTATACCAGTTTATTGTGTGATAGCAAATGCGTCCAATTATATACAATAATCAGGTTATTAAACAGGAACAGCTAAATAAAGAAATAATTTGTCAACACCAACGGCAATGGGAACACAGGTTCATTTTAACCAATAATTACTTGTCTAAATTCTGCCAATGTGAACTACCATTGAATCAGCCAGCTGATTTCTAAGTGAATAAAATGCAACAACAGCCCTTATCAATATTTGCCCAACCGTGCTTGCTCAATATTTCTACTTCATTTTTATTCCTTTTCAATCTGAGAGTCATATCCAAGTCAAATCAACTCATCTTAATAGGAACAAGTGTACAAATTAACAGTAATCCTGCTCAAACAGACAAAGTACATAATCTTAGGAATTATTCAAAATCTTTGGTATATAATACATGGAGTAATATATGTGGCTACAGGTCTGAGGCAGTCTGATCTTTTTACAAGATATTGCAACCAGGTCTGAGCAGATCAATAATTTTTGCAGATCTAAAGGGCCATGTCTGCAGTGCACCAAATAAATATCAATAATAAATACCCAAGAATAAACCAGTCTTCAATAATTACACTGGTCCCTTTTAAGGATATCTTGCATCTATCAAACAATTGCACAATATATTTACAAAAATCTTTTTACAAAAAATTGTTTCTATTGTCAGCATAACTTAGTATTTATATTAAAACTATAAATACCAACACTGGAACTGAAACCAGATTGAATGGCATTATGTTTTACAAACAACTGCCTGATAATCTAACTCACATCCATGTTAAGTTCAACACTCAAATCCATAATTCACACCTCTCAATCTTCAGAAAATCCAATTTCATTCATCCTTATTCAAATGTTGTAAGGTACCAAATGTCAGTAAAACCATCCGACTTATATTACTGCTGTCACCTTCCCTTGATGTTTAAAATAAGTAACGAAAAATCATAAAATAATTCAAATCAAGTTTAAGAAGAATTATGTGATTAACAAAAACAATAATCTTTTCTGAATGGCACCTATACAATTCTGGAAGCAATCCTAGGTGGACATGTGTGAATGTGTGTATGTGTGTATGTATGCATGCATGTATATGTGTGTGTCTTCTTTCTCTGTAAGGCAAACTTCAATTTCAATAGACATACTTAAGATGGCTACGATGAAGCAGTTAAAATCATTTCAACAACATGGTTACAGTAGCAATATTGTCCTTTTAAAACAACAACAGCCTTGTGGAATATGGACAGCAACAGTCTGATGTGGAGATACCAACTCATAAAAAACAGTTTCTGAATCTCCAAGAAGGCAGCTTCAGGATGTACAGCAACATCTTACACTAGGCGAAACATTACTGTTAATGCCCATAGCTCCTAAAGTATACAACAAAAACAGCTTCATGTCACTATGGAAATAGCTTCATGTCACCACGGAAACATCTTCAAGTGCTTCATGTTACCATGGAAACATCAAGCAAACAAGGGAAGGATCAAACTGTTAAGACAAAGTCATATATTTGAATGGCGTACAAACAGGGACTGGCTTTTTTGCCCCTTATATGCATACATAGTGCAGATCTTTGTTCAACACGACCAAGACTTTCATATTCAGTATGTTATATGAAAGCTCCCAGTTTAAATGAGGTTCTTATTTGCCAGGGTGCACTGTATCTGAATTTTAACAGCAAAGCTATGCTTCTGAAGACTCTGTAGTGGACTGTCTAAGCTGGCTCTTGGAGGGTCTGGACTTCTTGCCAAATAATGCTGACAATCTGGAACCGGAAGTGGTTTTTGGAGACTTTGTCTGGTTTTGTATTTCTTCTTTTGCCATATTGGATGCTGAGCTGGCAGAAACCTGGTGGAGATAAATAAAATTTAACCTTCAGAAGATAAACTTATTGTGTGTGTGTGTCAAACTGTTTTTATGGATTTTTCAAACTTGCCTTTTGCATTACAAAGTCTATGGAATGCACTTGGATTTTACTCTAAATAAATATAATTTAAAAACTCAAGTTTCATTACTGAATGAAGCTCATGACAAGATAAAATGTCAAATTCAATGTCCAGGCATTTCCTTAATTAAAACCTTAATGATGGATCCTGATCTGAAACTAATCATTTTGCAGCTTTTGGTCGCATCATGTTGTATTTTAAGAAGGGTGTTTGATGGCTGATGAGAGATTTAACACACTTGGTCCAATATGCAGTTGCTAAGATAATTTCAACAGAACCATCAGCCTAATTGGCTGTTACTTAGCTACCTATTTTATTTACAAATATTTAGGATAGAAACTGAGACTCACCATGCCGCTGTCCAGTGATCCCTCACTCCCTCTTCTTTGAGCTATAGCACCTACACATAAAACAAAGTATATTTTTAATACATGATGCAAACTTAAAGCAATGTGCAATTGTTCCTTACACCCCATTCTCATAGATTAGATCGACCTACATTGGATCAACCTAACTCCCTGGGGGTTCACGCTAAATAGCTGTCAGCCGGGCGGACATGAAAGTTAATTATCCCTTTTTGCTTGTAGTAGGCGGGGATGGACACTTAAGGTGGATTATCTGACAGTAATCTAGTGAGACTCCCCGCGGTGATAGATCGATCTAAAAGTTGTGAGAACAGAGCCTTAATGTTTCTTGTAACATCAGTAAAAACATAAGAGGAACATTTTAGTATTAATGTCCACTTGGTATAGGACTGATTTGTGCTATAAATGTACTTTTTAAGGCTATCAGCTTCATCTTCTACTGCCAATGAACACAAAACTAAAGTTTGTCAATTTTTTTAATGTCACAGATTTCCTCTATCATTATGTAATGTTTAACTTAGCCAATTTGAAAAAAAAACAACAACAGCACAAAAAAAAAAAAAAAACTAACCCCCCCCCCCCTTTGTTCTCTCTCTCTCTCTCTCCCTCTCTCTCTCTCTTTAATAAAAAAAGCTTACCATCTGTAATATCAGTTAGAGAATTTGTTAGCTGACTCTTCTTGAGCTCGGGAGCAGAGAATCTGTTCGGTGTGGGATCACACGGTTTGAGAAGCTCAATATCGACCACCCCTGAGTCACTACTGTGGCGATTGTGTTTCTGGATCTCTTCATCTATTCTCATTGCTTCCATTTCATTCATCTGGAAGACAAATAGTAGAATTATAGAATGTTGAACATATTTCATTCCTTTCAAATATATTTTCCAAATGCTAATACAATTGTACTTTTCAAAGCAGTAAAATTGTTTTCTAGGAAGAAAGACTCACTAAACAAGACAAGTCTATTTCATATATTTCTTCACATGTGAGCAAGAACAACAGACCTTATATTTTGAAATTGCAGAAACAGAAATACCAAACACTGAAATCATTTATAGGTGTCAGCATGCTACACCAAACAGCAATGGTCCAAGACAAGCCAATGTCTTACCTCATAGACAGCCTCTTTGAGATCTTCCACAAATTTGGTTCTATCATGTTCATTCCTGGCATTGAAAGTGATGAGTGGTTTCCCATCTAGACTAGAGATCAAGCGGACTCCATGCTTATAATCTGGAATCAACAAGACAAAAAGAAATAAAGAAAAAACCCATAACTATAAATATTAGGATAAGGATGAGAGGGGGAATGAAATGATACAGGTAAAGTGTCATCACCAAATTGTTAATGCACACTTTGTGTATCCTAATGATTTGAAGAAAAAGTGAAAAAATCGCTGGTTAATTTTAAATTCTGAGAGATATAAATCTCCAATTTTACATTACAAAACCTTTCCATAAAATTCTACAACCTCCTGAGAAAAAATTGTAATCTACATCTAATAAGCACAATGGTGCCATGCCCATTAATTTCATGAGTACTTCAGGGATAAGACAACCATTTGGTGAAAAAAATCTGAATATATGGCGTGGGGTCCTGGGGGTTGCCTAGACCACTGATATTTGTGGCTCCCAAAAAATCAGAAATTCAGAAAGATATTCAGAAATAAAGTCATCCCTGATACTTACGTGCAGTTTCGAAGAGGTAGACCTGAGTTCCCACTAATGGAATGGACTGTCTGAAGCTATAAGTGATGCTGGTCTTCTTCTTGGCAAAGATCTTTGTGACCTAAAAGTAATGGGGAACCTTAGTAAAACTATTGCTTAAATGTTCCCCGTCTTGTTTTTGCTTTTGTTTTCAAAATCCTAATGTGAAAAATTTGGACAAAATAAAAGAAATGAAATTTTACCTTTAAAACGTGTTTAAAATTTTTGTGAAATAAATTAAACACATTATCTGACTTAAACCAGATCTCTTTAAGACAGAGGATTCACTCACCACCATGATGTCATTAAATAAGAATATTTCCCGCTGGTGGAGTCCAATTTTCTCTTTCTTTGTCGGGTCATTCACCTCATAGAGACGACAATAACACACCAGGCGTCTGGAAGACTGGGCTAATTGCTACAAGAAACCCATGTGAATTTAAGTTAGGCACTTTGTATGTAAAAAAGACTTACTTTCAAGAGAAACCATAGAGAATATAATCATTTTCACTAGGTCTAAAATTTTCATATGGCAAAATATAGTGTAGAAATACAATGTGAGCATTATTGTTGCTGAAAATTAACTTCCAAATGCTGCCAGCAATTTCAAAAGAGGGGGGGGGGTATTTTTCTGTAAAAGTTAAACAGTTTCCTGCAAAATGAGAAGTGGAATGGAACCTAAATCAAATTATGATTCAGCTCAAGGCAAAATGACCCTTTTTAAACTCCCCCATAAAATATGAGACTTACTGGCTTCTTTCCCACAATCGTCTGCTCAACTTTCATAACTTGGGTCACATGATCAACTCCCGGTTTAAATTCAGACTGTCGTATCCTCTCAAATATTCCAGCCAGTAGATCAGCATCTACATCATCACCGTCATCAATTCCTGTGATAAGAGTTCATATTTATAATAATAATTGTTTACAATAGATTTACATTTGTAAAGATAAAATAGCAGCTTCTAAAGCATGTTGCACTGCAAGACAATCAAACATTTTGATCTCCTAGAACTGTCAAAATAATTAATCTTATGAACAACTTGAAACATCAAAATCTGTGTCCAAAAAAAAAAAAAAAGGTTGACATATTTAAATGTGATTTTAGCCCAAACATATGTCTTATACTTAAAGACAATACTTGTAAACTATCTATCAAACCAATTACATCAAAATTAAAAAATATTATCTGATTATAGTCATCAAATGTCTTATACTTAAAAGACAAAAGTTAACTATCAAGTAAATTATAGCCCAAAATCCCAAAATGTACCTTTGAGATTTTTGATAAAATCTGGTAATTTCATTCTTCTTTCCTGTTTCACATTGGGACTGTGAAGATCAGTGTTTAGCATAATTATGGCAAACGCCAGAAGGAAAACTGTGTCTGTTGTGCGGAATTTCTTGATCACATCTGGGTTGCACTCGCAGTAGCGTCTCGCAAAAGCTTCCATCAGACGTTCTATTTTCTGTGCTTCACCCTAAAAGAGATTATAGGCAAATCAAGTTATTAAAAAGTAATCTTCTTTGAGTAAATTATTTAAAATAAGCAGGTCACATGTTAAATGAGCTTTGAAAAATGGATAATAATATTAAAAAGGACATTTTTTAAACCTGATGATTTATAAGACATTTGTTTTTGACTAGAAGATATTATAATAGTTCTATTTCAATCAAACATCAGCCTACAATACCCTCAAAAATATAGTGGGCAATTTTTTATTCAAATGGTAGGAATTCTTCTAAGCAAACATACAGAACAAAATAACAATCAATCAATATTTCATAGAGAATTATTATAAACTAAGGAGGGCTGTCAGTTTTTGAGACTAATTATTCTTTGATCACTACCACTTATTCTAAGAAAAGTGGTGACCTAATCTGCCATAAGAGACCAAGGAAGCTGCCAAAAATGGTTTTCTCAAAACCCTGGAGTCATAATTGCTAATTAATGACTATTAATTAACAGAAGTCACTTTTTCTGAACCACATTTTTGGGGACAATCTAACATTATAGGGAAAATAGGAAATATTAAACATTGTACGAATTCTTTGAAAAAACTTGTAGGCTGAATTTCCACTGAATACTTAATCTCAAGTCTGTCTGAGGTTTATAAAGTACAACTGCAAAAACATTTCCAGTGCCAATGTAACTGAATCACAAGATCTTCTCATAGCCATGAACACTTACAGAAACAGAAAAGCCCAATGCTGAAAGAGACACATTGTCGAATAAATTCCAGGGCAGCCCATTCGTTGTTCCATCATCTTGCAAGTTCTAATCCCAAATAAGGGTTATGTTGAAGGAATGCAAAAAGCCACACTGTTCCAGGGACAATTAAGACTTAAAATTTTCTGGCTGTCAGAAACCATTTGGTTGCAAGAATAAGAAAAACATTACCTCCATTTCTCCCCTTCTCACCTCATTTCACCCTTAATCTAACAATGTGTGTCTAATAGAAAACCAGGAGGCAATTTTCTGGTTTTCCGTCAAACTTAATTAGTGACATCAGGGCAAATAAGTTGACTACACTTCTTCAGCAATTTTTTAACAAGATGTGTGTGTTTTTATCATTTCTCGAGCTTAAAAATGACTGAAAGCTTTATTATAACAGGCAGATAAGCACATATCAAATTTATGATTTGATTCCAACTAAACAAGTAGAAGCATCATAAGAATCCCATTTGCATCCTGGTCATAAACCGATCAGTGTCACCTGCTAGAAAACTAAGCCCTGTTCATTATTCGATGGCACCTGCTATGAAACTAGACCACTTGTCAAGAAACAAGAGCCCTCATTGTGTGTACAAGCTCCTAACACCATGGAGACCTCTTCACCTTTATTCTGTTCACCACTGACTTCTGTAGTATCTGGCGTATGCCTGCTATGAGAGAAGTCAATGGGATGGGCAAAGGGCACCAACCCCAAACTTGCGGCTCTTGACACTCTGTCAGTACCAGGGTATTTTAGAAAACAGATGTATAAATATAAATCATTCCCTGTATGCAACTGGTTTGGTTCAGATAGAGTATTTTTTTGAAAAGTAAACTGAGTTATCTTTTGCTGCACTTCAAAAAAAGTGCCTTGAGAATATGAGAAAAAAATTCTGACACAAGTGAAGGATAATTCTCTCTCTCTTTCTTTGTGCTTCTGGACTAAAGAATTACACAAGACTTAATCATTCTGGATGCTAGAATTCCAACACTTTTTTGTAGAGGATCTTTCAAGAGGCAGACAACTGTCATTGAACTTCCTTTTGTAGGTGGATTTATTCAGTATGATGCTAAGTTACCTCAAGAGAAGTCAGTATGTGATACTGGCAAATACCAAGAAATGGTTTTACAATTAAATACTCCTTTCTACTGAATGTTTTTTTTTTGCTCTCTTAGAGATATGGCATTTAATTCTCTTATCCTACATACTTTACTTGGAAATTATCCCTAACTAGCACCCAGCAGGGTGTTCAAGCATTGGTATATCTAGTATTGGATCAATTTTGCGCTTCCTTTCCAGCCCTAGTCAGGGGCGGATCCAGAGCTATATACTGACAGTCTTCCAAATTATCTTTGTTGATTCATCCTCCAATTTTGACCGTCTTCCAACATTAAAAATTGGATACCCGTCAATGTAAACTTGAAAATCTGACCGTCTTCTGGAAGACCCAGAAGACGGCCTAAATCCGCCCCTGCTAGTGAGGAAAAATGATGGCTCATGGGATACAGCCAATAACGACAGAGGCAATCGATAGCGGCACTTTGTCTGACTTACTGCGCACAATCTAGTATTTATCTGTTACGTGAACTGCCATCAATTTCATCAGTTGGAAATCATTTCCTTGTTCTATTCTTGTGATCAGCTGTGATTAAATTGATGTCTGATGTTACACATAAATACTTATGGTTAGGTGGTTAAAAATCCAAGGTTCAACTGGACCTGTATTTTTCACTGGTTTTAATATATTTAATTTAAGCAAATATCTTGATTAAGCAAAACATTTTGGACATACAGCAAATTTCAGTCAGGCTCATTTAAATATCTGATAAAATTGTTCAACATATTCTTATTTTGCATACATTAGTTTTCAAACAAGAAACTATTTACTAGGAAAGGAAATATGCTTTTCCTGATACTTATGTATAATGAGGTTAATGACACTTGCTGGTGTCACTTCCATACGTGATTAAGGCAGTGAAATAACTGATCTTTATATGTGCTGTGGAAACATGCAAGAATTGTATGCTATTCGACACAGTGTCTCCCCTGTGGTATGGCGGGTAACTCACCGGCATTCTAAAAAATCCTTGGAACGTACGGAGAGCAACATCTATTTGAAGGCCTGAGAGGTCAATCTCGTCCACAAAACACCTAAAGAAAAAAATGAATAAATGAAAATATAGAACACCCATTAACAAATACTTTGTCCATGATTTTCAGTAGACACATTTGTTAATTGTGATAAGTCACATCTTTATATAAGATGTATCATAAATTACAGCTCACTTCTCTTTTAAAAGTAATTTGATACCTATACCTTAGTTATCAGTAGTTTGGAAAAATTCATTGACTGTTCAACATTATGCATTAGGTCATCAAGCAGCGTTCATTTACTGGAAAAAAAAATAATTTTCTGCATGTACTCACTCTAATACATCTTGGTTAAACTGATTCTGCAAATTTCCCAAATATTCGCCAATCATCTGCTTGCTCAGTCCTTTCCTCTGAATGAGAAATTTTGCTCCTGCTCTCGCTGAATTCTCAACAAACCGATGCTCTATAAGGTAGCGCATACCTTTCTCTGGTTTTCTGAAAATTTCAAAATGTGATATATTTATAAAATTGTCAATTTCCAACATAGTACCAGACCAGTTAAGATTGTTTATTTTTTTATATATACAATAATACTAATGATGTGGAGAAAGTCAACTATTCATTTAATTTAATTTAAAATCAGTAGGTGAAAGGCATTAACAGAACAATGTAAAAACATGAATAAGTACAACATATTCTCAATCCCCTTGCAAGCATCCCCTTTTTCTCCTTAACCTAAGCCTCTGAAATTCAAGACATCTGACATTGAAAACCCCAGTAACCCTCAGCCTTTAAAACAACATCAGACTTTCCCCTCAGTTTTATCTGAACAATTTTACCTTCCAGCTCATTTGAAACTTAATGTGCCAAAACTCAAATAGCTTTTTGCTTTGACTGCTTGGCCACCTATGTAGATTGATAGGACATAGATGCTGATGTGGCAAAAGCAACAAAGTTTGTTAGGATAACCTGTAGCATTTTAAACCAACTACTTCCAATTGCTCTTAAATTACATAGTTCTAACAAGAGCTTTCGAAATTTGATATTATGATTTAGAGAAGAAGACTTTTAACTGCTGAAAAAGATGTACTTGAACTTTAATTTCATTAAGATGAAATTTTCCTACATTAATAAAAGTTATCTTTTTTTCACATTTTGATCAACTTTGATTAAAAAAGAAATGCTAAAAAATTAGTGAGTAAAAGAAATGAAGAAAATTGGAAATGATTTGTTTAAAAGCTTTGAATACATCATGAATCATGTTGGTCTAACAAGTACTTAGTACTATCTGGACAGACTAGCACTCGGTAGACATGATTTTCTTTGGGTTTTGTTACAGACTTTCTGTTTCTAAGGATATAAAGCCATGATTAGAAAAATGTGGTTGCCATGCTTGTAATCCATAACAATTGTTCTTGCCCTCGTTTCAATAGAGACTACTGCTTTGTTTTTAACTACCTAGTTCAGGTTTAGCTTTGTTTAGGTTGGAAACAACCGCAGTTTCAACAGATTACACATAGCCCAGCTGAAGAAACTTGCATGAGGTCTTTGTTTTCAATTGGAAACAACCAAAGTTTGGGCAATGCACTGGACTGGTGCATATGGTTTGATGATTTTGTGGTTTCGGAACAGTTGCAATAAGTACGCCAAGGGTGTTGAGCATACTGGTGTTTTTAACTTCTAAAACTAAATCGTGTCATTTGAAGCAATATCCACAAACAGTCCAGACTAAATGGGACTTGCTGCTGTGCAACTACATTTAAAATCTTTTTCGACAATGGTTTCCANAATAAAATGTCAAATTCAATGTTCAGGTATTTCCCTAATTAAAACCTTAATGATGGATCCTGATCTGAAAGTAATTATTTTGCAGCTTTTGGTCACACCATGTTGTATTTTAAGAAGGGTGTTTGATGGCTGATGAGAGAATTAACACACTTGATCCAATATACAGTTGCTAAGATAATTCCAACAGAACCATCAGCCTAATTGGCTGTTACTAAGCTACTTATTTTATTTACAAATATTTAGGATAGAAACTGAGACTCACCATGCCGCTGTCCAGTGATCCCTCACTCCCTCTTCTTTGAGCTATAGCACCTACACATAAAACAAAGTATATTTTTAATACATGATGCAAACTTAAAGCAATGTGCAATTGTTCCTTAATGTTTCTTGTAACATCAGTAAAAACATAAGAGGAACATTTTAGTATTAATGTCCACTTGGTATAGGACTGATTTGTGCTATAATTGTACTTTTTAAGGCTATCAGCTTCATCTTCTACTGCCAATGAACACAAAACTAAAGTTTGTCAATTTTTTTAATGTCACAGATTTCCTCTATCATTATGTAATGTTTAACTTAGCCAATTTGGAAAAAAAACACTACCCCCCCCCCCCCCTTTTTGTTCTCTCTCTCTCTCTTTAATAGAAAAAGCTTACCATCTGTAATATCAGTTAGAGAATTTGTTAGCTGACTCTTCTTGAGCTCGGGAGCAGAGAATCTGTTCGGTGTGGGATCACACGGTTTGAGAAGCTCAATATCGACCACCCCTGAGTCACTACTGTGCCGATTGTGTTTCTGAATCTCTTCATCTATTCTCATTGCTTCCATTTCATTCATCTGGAAGACAAATAGTAGTATTATAGAATGTTGAACATATTTCATTCCTTTCAAATATATTTTCCAAATGCTAATACAATTGTACTTTTCAAAGCAGTAAAATTGTTTTCTAGGAAGAAAGACTCACTAAACAAGACAAGTCTATTTCATATATTTCTTCACATGTGAGCAAGAACAACAGACCTTATATTTTGAAATTGCAGAAACAGAAATACCAAACACTGAAATCTTTCATAGGTGTTAGCATGCTACACCAAACAGCAATGGTCCAAGACAAGCCAATGTCTTACCTCATACACAGCCTCTTTGAGATCTTCCACAAATTTGGTTCTATCATGTTCATTCCTGGCATTGAAAGTGATGAGTGGTTTCCCATCTAGACTAGAGATCAAGCGGACTCCATGCTTATAATCTGGAATCAACAAGACAAAAAGAAATAAAGAAAAACCCATAACTATAAATATTAGGATAAGGATGAGAGGGGGGAATGAAATGATACAGGTAAAGTGTCATCACCAAATTGTTAATGCACACTTTGTGTATCCTAATGATTTGATGAAAAAATGAAAAAATTGCTGGTTAATTTTAAATTCTGAGAGATATAAATCTCCAATTTTACATTACAAAACCTTTCCATAAAATTCTACAACCTCCTGAGAAAAAAATTGTAATCTACATCTTATAAGCACAATGGTGCCATGCCCATTAATTTCATGTGAGTACGTCAGGGATGAGACTACCATTCGGTGAAAAAAATCTGAAAATATGGCGTGGGGTCCTGTGGGTTGCCTAGACCACTGATATTTGTGGCTCCCAAAAAATCAGACATTCAGAAAGATATTCAGAAATAAAGTCATCCCTGATACTTACGTGCAGTTTCGAAGAGGTAGACCTGAGTTCCCACTAATGGAATGGACTGTCTGAAGCTATAAGTGATGCTGGTCTTCTTCTTGGCAAAGATCTTTGTGACCTAAAAGTAATGGGGAATCTTTGTAAAACTATTGCTTAAATGTTCCTCATCTTGTTTGTGCTTTTGTTTTCAAAATCCTAATATGAAAAATTTGGACAAAATAAAGAGATGAAACTTTACCTTTAAAAGGTGTTTAAAATTTTGTGAAATAAATTAAACACATTATCTGGCTTAAACCAGATCTCTTTAAGACAGAGGATTCACTCACCACCATGATGTCATTAAATAAGAATATTTCCCGCTGGTGGAGTCCAATTTTCTCTTTCTTTGTTGGGTCATTCACCTCATAGAGACGACAATAACACACCAGACGTCTGGAAGACTGGGCTAATTGCTACAAGAAACACATGTGAATTTAAGTTAGGTACTTTGTATGAAAAAATACTTACTTTCAAGAGAAACCATAGAGAATTTAACCATTTTCACTAGGTCATTTTCATATGGCAAAATATAGTGTAGAAATACAATGTGAGCATTATTGTTGCTGAAAATTAACTTCCAGATGCTGCCAGCAATTTCAAAAGAGGGGGGGGGGGGGATATTTTTCTGTAAAAGTTAAACAGTTTCCTGCAAAATGAGAAGTGGAATGGAACTTACATCAAATTCTGATTCAGCTCAAGGCCAAATGACCTTTTTTAAACTCTCCGATAAAATATGAGACTTACTGGCTTCTTTCCCACAATCGTCTGCTCAACTTTCATAACTTGAGTCACATGATCAACTCCTGGTTTAAATTCAGACTGTCGTATCCTCTCAAATATTCCAGCCAGTAGATCAGCATCCACATCATCACCGTCATCAATTCCTATGATAAAAATTAATATTTATAATAGGTTTTCATTAATAATAGGTTGCAATGCAAGACAATCAAAGTTTTTGTTTCTGTCAAAATGATTAATCTCATAAACAATTTGAAACATTAAAAAATGGATAGTGATAGTCATGTGTCACAAAAAACAACAAAGCTGACATATTTATCTGATTTAAGTCCAAACGTGTCTCATATTTAAAGACAATAGTTAACTATCTATCAAACCAATTATATCAAAATTCAAAAATATCATCTGATTATTGTCATTAAATGTCTTATACTTTAAGACAAAAGTTAACTATCAAGTAAATTATACCCCAAAATCCCAAAACGTACCTTTGAGATTTTTGATAAAATCGGGTAATTTCATTCTTCTTTCCTGTTTCACATTGGGACTGTGAAGATCAGTGTTTAGCATAATTATGGCAAACGCCAGGAGGAAAACTGTGTCTGTTGTGCGGAATTTCTTGATCACATCTGGGTTGCACTCGCAGTAGCGTCTCGCAAAAGCTTCCATCAGACGTTCTATTTTCTGTGCCTCACCCTGAAAGATATAATAGGCAAATCAAGTTAAGTCATCTTCTCTGAGTAAACTATTTAAAATAAGCAGGTCACATGTTAAATAAGCTTTGAAAAAGGACATCAAACATCACAAACCTTACAATACCCCTCAAAATATAGTTGGCAATTTTTCTTGATTTAAATGGTAGAAATTCTTCTTAGCTTACATACAGGACAAAATAACAAATCAATATTTCATAGAGAATTATTATAAACTAAGAGGAGGCTGTCAGTTTTTGAGACTAATTATTCTTTGATCATTACCACTTATTCTAAGAAAAGTGGTGACCTAATCTGCCATAAGAGACCAAGGAAGCTGCCAAAAAATTGTTTTCTCAAAACCCTACAGTCATAATTGCTAATTAATGACTATTAATTAACAGAAGTCACTTTCCTGAACCACATTTTTGGGGAAAATGGGAAATATAATACATTGTACGAATTCTTTGAAAAAACTTGTAGGTTGAATTTCCACTGAATACTTAATCTCAAGTCTGTCTGAGGTTTATAAAGTACAACTGCAAAAACATTTCCAGTGCCAATGTAACTGAATCACAAGATCTTCTCATAGCCATGAACACTAACAGAAACAGAAAAGCCCAATGCTGAAAGAGACACAATTGTCAAATAAATTCCAGGGTAGCCCATTGGTTATTCCATCATCTTGCAAGTTCTAATCCCAAATAATGGTTATGTTGAAGGAATGCAAAAAGCCACACTGTTCCAGGGACAATTAAGACAACTTTTTCTGGCTGTCAGAAACCATTTGGTTGAAAGAATAAGAAAAACATTACCTCCATTTCTCCCCCTCTCACCTCATTTCACCCTTAATCTAACAATGTGTGTCTAATAGAAAACCAGGAGGCAATTTTCTGGTTTTCCGTCAAACTTAATTAGTGACATCAGGGCAAATAAGTTGACTACACTTCTTCAGCAATTTTTTAACAGGATGTGTGTGTTTTTATCATTTCTCAAGCTTAAAAATGACTGAAAGCTTTATTATAACAGGCAGATAAGCACATATCAAATTTATGATTTGATTCCAACTAAACAAGTATAAGCATCATAAGAATCCCATTTGCATCCTGGTCATAAACCGATTGGTGTCACCTGCTAGAAAACTAAGCCCTGTTCATTATTCCATGGCACCTGCTACAGAACTAGACCACTTGTCAAGAAACAAGAGCCCTCATTGTGTGTACAAGCTCCTAACACCATGGAGACCTCTTCACCTTTATTCTGTTCACCACTGACTTCTGTAGTATCTGGCGTATGCCTTCTATGTGAGAAGTCAATGGGATGGGCAAAGGGCACCAACCCCAAACCAGCAGCTCTTGACACTCTGTCAGTACCAGGGTATTTTAGAAAACAGATGTGTAAATATAAATCATTCCTGCTGCTGGTTTGGTTCAGAGAGAGAATTTTCCGAAAAGTAAACTGAGCTATCTTTTGCTGCACTTCAAAAAATGTGCCTTGAGAGAATGAGAAAAGAATTCTGACACAAGCGAAGGATACTTCTCTCTCTCTCTTTATTTCTGCTTCTGGACCGAAGAATTTCACAAGTCTTGATCATTCTGGATGCTAGAATTCCTACACTTTTTTTGTGGAGGATCTTTCAAGAGGCAGACAACTGGTCATTGAACTTCCTTTTGTAGGTGGATTTATTCAGTATGATGCTAAGTTATCTCAAGAGAAGTCAGTATGTGATACTGGCAAATACCAAGAAATGGTTTTACAATTAAATACTCCTTTCTACTGAATGTTTTTTTTTTGCTCTCTTAGAGATATGGCATTTAATTCTCTTATCCTACATACTTTACTTGGAAATTATCCCTAACTAGCACCCAGCAGGGTGTTCAAGCATTGGTATATCTAGCATTGGATCAATTTTGTGCTTCCTCTCCAGCCTTAGTGAGGAAAAATGATGGCTCATGGGATACGGCCAATAACGACAGAGGCAATTGATAGCAGCACTTTGTCTGACTTACTGCACACAATCTCGTATTTATCTGTTATGTGAACTGCCATCAATTTCATCAGTTAGAAATCATTTCCTTGTTCTATTCTTGTGATCAACTGTGATTAAATTACACATATATACTTATAGTTAGGTGGGTGTTTTGTCATAAAACTACGTGTTATCTTATTTCCCCATTTCTAAACATCCTAAACTTCCTTCTACATGGATTACATTTCCAAATTTAAAATTTGATTAAAAAATTTAAGGTTCAACTGGACCTGTATTTTCTATTGGTTTTAATATATTTAATTCCAGCAAATATCTTGATTAAGCAAAACATTTTGGACATACAGCAAAATTTAGTCAGGCTCATTTATACATCTGATAAAATTGTTCAACATATTCTTATTTTCCATACATTAGTTTTCAAACAAGAAACTATTTACTAGGAAAGGAAATATGCTTTTCCTGATACTTATGTATAATGAGGTTAATGACACTTGCTGGTGTCATTTCCATACGTGATTAAGGCAGTGAAATAACTGATCTTTATATGTGCTGTGGAAACATGCAAGAATTGTATGCTATTCGACACAGTGTCTCCCCTGTGGTATGGCGGGTAACTCACCGGCATTCTAAAAAATCCTTGGAACGTACGGAGAGCAACATCTATTTGAAGGCCTGAGAGGTCAATCTCGTCCACAAAACACCTAAAGAAAAAAAAATGAATAAATGAAAATATAGAACACCCATTAACAAATACTTTGTCCATGGTTTTCAGTAGACACATTTGTTAATTGTGATAAGTCACATCTTTATATAAGATGTATCATAAAATACAGCTCGCTCTTTTAAGGGAAAATGGGTAAATTATCAATGCGGCTGTATACATGTTGGACTCCTTTATTTAAATATTTTCTAAAAGTAATTTGATACCTATACCTTAGTTATCAGTAGTTTAGAAAAATTAATTGACTGTTCATCATTATGCATTAGGTCATCAAGCAGGGTTCATTTACTGGAACAAACAATTATTTTCTGCATATACTCACTCTAATACATCTTGGTTAAACTGATTCTGCAAATTTCCCAAATATTCGCCAATCATCTGCTTGCTCAGTCCTTTCCTCTGAATGAGAAACTTGGCTCCAGCTCTCGCTGAATTCTCAACAAACCGATGCTCTATAAGGTAGCGCATACCTTTCTCTGGTTTTCTGGAAATTTCAAAATGTGATATATTACAAAATTATCAATTTCCATCATAGTATCAGACCAATAAAACTTGTTGATTTTTAAAAAAATATAATAATAATAATAATGCTGTGGAGAAAGTCAACTCTCCATTTAATTTAAAATCAGTAGATGAAAGATTATGGGATGTTATTTTTAACAGAACAATGTAAGAACATGAACAAATATAACATATTCTCAACCCCCTTGTGAGCAGCCCTTTTTCCCCTTAACTAAAGCCTCTGAAATTCAAGACATCTGACACTGAAAAACCCAGTAACGCTCAGCCTTTAAAACAACATCAGACTTTCCCCTCAGTTTTATCTGAACAATTTTACCTTCCAGCTCATTTGAAACTTAATGTGCCAAAACTCAAACAGCTTTTTGCTTTGACTGCTTGGCCACCTATGTAGATTGATAGGACATAGATGCTGATGTGGCAAAAGCAACAAAGTTTGTTAGGATAACCTGTAGCATTTTAAACCAACTACTTCCAATTGCTCTTAAATTACATAGTTCTAACAAGAGCTTTCGAAATTTGATATTATGATTTAGAGAAGAAGACTTTTAACTGCTGAAAAAGATGTACTTGAACTTAATTTCATTAAGATGAAATTTTCCTACATTAATAAAAGTTATCTTTTTTTCACATTTTGATCAACTTTGATTAAAAAAGAAATGCTAAAAAATTAGTGAGTAAAAGAAATGAAGAAAATTGGAAATGATTTGTTTAAAAGCTTTGAATACATCATGAATCATGTTGGTCTAACAAGTACTTAGTACTATCTGGACAGACTAGCACTCGGTAGACATGATTTTCTTTGGGTTTTGTTACAGACTTTCTGTTTCTAAGGATATAAAGCCATGATTAGAAAAATGTGGTTGCCATGCTTGTAATCCATAACAATTGTTTTTGCCCTCGTTTCAATAGAGACTACTGCTTTGTTTTTAACTACCTAGTTCAGGTTTAGCTTTGTTTAGGTTGGAAACAACCGCAATTTCAACAGATTACACATAGCCCAGCTGAAGAAACTTGCATGAGGTCTTTGTTTTCAATTGGAAACAACCAAAGTTTGGGCAATGCACTGGACTGGTGCACATGGTTTGATGATTTTGTGGTTTCGGAACAGTTGCAATAAGTACGCCAAGGGTGTTGAGCATACTGGTGTTTTTAACTTCTAAAACTAAATCGTGTCATTTGAAGCAATATCCACAAACAGTCCAGACTAAATGGGACTTGCTGCTGTGCAACTACATTTAAAATCTTTTTCGACAATGGTTTCTATAGAGATGGTCTAAATGATGATGACCTCAAATGATTTATTTATTTCCCTAAGTAACTTTGGTCTTGCAATTCGGACATAACCATTAACTTTAATTTAGATGGGTTAACTATGGTGTAAAATGATGGAATGGCATTGTAAACAACAACAATACCCTAGTATTTTACCTTAAACAGGTCCATTGTCTCGGTTGGGTGACACAGTAATCACCTAACAACAATACAATACTCTAGATGTCCAGTAAAAACAGCCTTAAAAACTGAATACACCTTTTATGGTTCTTACTTACTTGTTGAATAAATTTAGCCCAATTCTGTACTGTCTTTTCCGTTGTTTATCTGACACCTTGGAAGAACCCATAGATCGTACGCTGGGCTGTGGCGACTCAGTCCTAAGTTTTGAAGAGTCCAGAGTGTCTTTAGCATAGCTCCCTGTGTCACTATTCATACTGGTCATACTGGTCAGATCTGAGCCTGAACTAGACAATGCTCGGCCACCGTCCACACTGTCTGGCTCGCTTGTTTCAGAGATATTACTCATACGCTTCTCCTCTTCTTCTTTCAATCCCATTTTGGCTTCGGCCAGAGCACTTTTACGTTTCCATATTGGTGACTCTTGTGGGGAGGATTTTTTACCGCCCTGTTTGTTTCGAAGTTTAACTTCCTGATTACCATACATGGCTGACTGATCTGAGTCTACACGTCCATAATGCAAAAATGGTGGATATACGGATCGGTCTCCAGGAGACATGTCTACCCTCATGGGTCCGTCCCGACTATAGTCAATGTTGGCATCGGAATAATCCATAGATGGTGATCTCAAGTTCTCATATGACATTTCGCCATGCTGTAATAGAGGCTCATAGGCCACTTCTGAGGAGGTCCTTCGACTGGGCCCATGCCAGCTTGACAACGAGCTTGTTTCACTGTTGCTAAAACTGTCATTGTGGTGAGACGTGTCCCTTGTCTCCAGGACGTTTTCAAAGTTCACGCTGGGAAGATCCACCAGGGGTTCATTTGGAGTCTCCTGCGGGGAATCACTGGCACTACTGTCATTCTGTTCAGGATACGAATTCCTGTTGTTGTTCTGCTCTTCTTCAGACCCCTGCAGGATCCCGACTTTTTCTCCCTTCTGTTTGGCCTTTCTTTTCTTGGCATTGGTTTCCAAGTCAATTTTCATGATCCTTCTCATGACTACATCTGCCATGTGCGTCTCCCTCATTTTGTCAATAGATGCCTCATGAGGGCTGTAGTTGTCATAGTCGGATAATTTCCTTGTTTTCTCTAAATTATAATTCCCCTCAGAATCCACAGAGTATTCAGACGTGAATAAAGAATCATTATGAATGACGATGTCATTCCACATAGAATCACTTCGCCCCATTTCAGTAAGTCGATGAACTAAACGCCGTTCTCCCTTAATGCTGCGAAGGCGCTGGAAATTTTTCCGTAAGCAATAATTCCTATAAGCTTGCTGAATTGTTCTAGCAGCGATTCTGGCTCTCAGTTGTCCACCATACTTCTTTTCGAGCATCTCAATCTGCTTTGCCTGGAAGTCAGATGACAGCTCATAGGCATTTGGAGATTTAGAATGATGGGAGCCATTTTCTTCTTTGGATTTTCTGAAGGAGCGTTGACGCTGAAGCTTGATAGAGTTTCCTGAAGCAGACGGCTGGCGATGGTACTTTGGTGGTACCTTTGGGGGTGGTCCTTTCGTAGGGGATGAGCCGTCGACTGTGTTTGGTCTCTCTTTTAACTTGGGAGTCTGCGGTCTACCAGAGCGACTGCAAAGAGAGAAAAAAAAACACATAGATAAGAGCTTTCAATGCAGAGAATCAGTCCAATTCCCCATCAAGGCATGTCAGACCTTTTCAAGGCAACTAATAAAACATGAATTACCCATCTGGAAGCAATAGCTTGCAATAACACAAATATATCTGAATGCAGAATGACCTTTTACTGTCCTTGCATACAGAGTACTAACCACATATACAGTGAAATAAGAAATCTTAAAGTAGAGCCACTACTATAAGGCTATAGAGCCATTTCTCTGTTGGAAAAATATCATTTACTAAAACAGCAATCAAACAAAATCAAGTGATGTTGTGGCTGTTCTTCAATCCTGCAAAGGAAATGCCATGTCCTGAAAAAACAAAATGTCTCCTGCTGTTGTTCTTACGTGTCTCATTGTCAAATGGCATCTAATTTTCAGACTGATCTCGAAGCGAATCTTGCCCAAGCAGAAAGAGACCTCTCACAAACAAGTTAATGTTCAACTAGCCTAGCAGGAGGTTACTTTATACAAGACTAAATGTAAATCAAATTCTCTGTCATTTGTTCAACATATGTATTGCAATGGTTACCACTTGAGCCTGATATAACATTCAACCAAAACCAAACAACCATTACTCTTTACAGAAATCTGTATAAACAAACAAAGTAAAGAGATTAATTTTATCAAAGATAAACTTGATAGAGTTAGAAGAAACATACTCTTCATTAACAGTTGTGTACAAAGGAAATTCAATGCTTAATTAATACATTAGTTGACACTTGCAATCAAGTTCCTAATGCAATGGCAGTTAACCAATATCTCCCATTTTCATACAAAATTCCTAATCATACAGTACTTGCTACACCAAATTGAAAGATTTTATCTAATCTACATACCCTGTTCATAAAGCCTACCATACATGAGTTGGATTTCTCCAGCACTTTCTTTTATAATTTTGTGATGCATGAAATGCCCCTGCAACCACAGCTATGGATCTCACAATGTTCAGCCTGCAAAAACCTTCAAGTTAATGCCCTACATCCTTGCCTGCTAAGACTATAGGTAACTGCGGCTCTTAACAACCTACACACACACAGTTCCAGATTACATATCCTACAATACAAACAGTTCCAATATCAAAGACTCGGGTAGACTTCTGTTTCCTATTCGGAAACAAACTCACTTCCAGACCCACCTTCTGTTTTCTATGGTTTCCAGTAGCTGGTGCCTAGAGAGAAGCCACTAAGTGAGCTTTGGCTGCAGCACTAAGAAATTAAGCTTCAAGTACATGCAATTCCAACCTCATGTATCTGACAGCAAGTTAAGTGACTCGCAAATGATTCTACTAGGCTTAGCACTGTTCGTATTTCCTCAGCTGGAAGAAAGTGTTGAGTGCATTTAAACCGGTGGCCCATGTTGCATTGGATTACCGCACCCCCCTGTGCTTGCACTAACTAACAACCAAGTTTTAACCAATGGCTGGGCATGTTAGAAAAACACTGACGTCACTGCTGGCTATTATCATAATATCTAAGTGGATTGGACTGATTAAGGTTCGATTGTGTGATTGCTTCTGAAGGGTTTTTTTTCATGTATCAGATTTAGAATACTTGTGAAAAATGAATAGAATCAGAATTCTTATCTCTACCTTATGCTTTATCTTTGTCACATAAAATTTTCTCACTAAAATTTTACTGTTTATCTCTATGAAAAAAAAAAAATATATATATATATAATTGTACTCCAATCAATTAAGCTCATAACTGAAATAAGCATGCTGACGTATGAGAAATTTGAAATAGAAGTTCAATAATCCCTAGGACAAAGCCAATAAATAGATTATTTGGTGCTCTGTTGGTTAACAGCATACAAAAATAACCAAAGAATGACATAATTGGAATTAATGAGAAGATGCAACTGCTTGATAAGAATAGTCAACTCAGAACTGCATGTGCATTAGTTCCTTTGAAAGGAAGGGAATGAAGAAAACTGAAGAAAAAAAATTAATACTTGAAGTAATTTTCCTTTGAAAAATTAAATGAATTTTTACCTGACTTTAAAGCATCAGGTAATATGGTACAAAAGAATGATTTCTAATAGTGTCAGTGTCCACCAATTATCTCTTTGGAGCATCTATTTTCTCAGTCCAGTGTTTTCACAAGGCACACTCCCCAGTGCAAACACAGATGGTGAGCTTCATAACTGTGTACACTCAGATGTGGAAAACTTGAGTGCAAGAAAGTTTTCAAAGTGCTTGGCTACTTAACAGAGTTACCAGCTGTGAAAATGGAACATTTTGCTTCAAAAACTCCAGGACATCTGCTGGGCACATTTAAAAAGAACACAACTGGTCTGATTGAAGTGTCCTAGCTTTCGAGATAGGATACCGAGATATGATACCGTTTATACTAAAACTTGATATCATGCTTTCACACTTGTGACGATTACTTGACAAAAACAGGAAGAATTGCAAATGTGCTGTAAATATATAGATACATCCATTTCATGACATTCACACTTGTGACGCTTACTTGACAAAAACAGGAAGACTTGGAAATGTGCTGTTAATATATAGATACATCCATTTCATGACATCTACAGGGTTGATTATGTAAACAGGAAGAAATGCAAATGGACATTTCACTGCAACATTTTCACTTGCCCACTACTTTCACAGGTGAAATGGTTTCTGTTTTCAGGTACAATGTTCCTAATGATTCCCACAACCAGGAAGCACTACAAAAATGTGCATCAAATTTACATCAAAATGCCTTCATGTAATAATTTTTATGCAGGTTCTAGTAATTTAAGCAACATAAGACATTACAAAGCAAAGAAACAAAATATCTTTAAATCTCTGGCTAGTTCAACAGGTCAGTGTTTCCTACACAACATATATCAAGTACAAATCCTGCTTTTGCTGAATCAAATCTTTGTTACTGAAAGGACAAAAAGTTAAAACCATCTAGAGCTAGAGTCAGAAGTTATTTTGTCAGACCCTAATCCCCCACCTCTGAATAAATATCAAACCCAGTGGAAACAAACTGCATAATGCTTCTGTCAACGTCACACGAGAAATCTAATCAGATCATGCTTCTTAGATAATTGTGCTGTGATACTGCATGCAAGATATCCAAATCCTACTATGTTTACTTTCTCCAAAGTATTTCATTGTTACAGACAGCTTCCGTGCTGCACCAGTGATATCATCTGTCATGGTCAAGAATCAGCACGGTCAAGGATCAGAACAGCTTAAATCAGGCATCACAAAAATCCCCATACAAAGAGATCACACAGATAAGACTTATTGTATATAAAATCATTCCTAAAAATCATTATCATAAGAAAAATATGAGGTAAAAATGAACAAAATATATTAACTGTTAATTCTATATTTTAATTTGTTGAAATCACTTTCAATACTGAGAACCAGGAATGAATATAATCTAAAACGGTGCCTTCTTTGTGATATTTACAGAAACCATATCTTGGTCATTACAAACACTCACTATTGCCTCCTAACAGCAGTGGTCAGTTCACACAGCACTGGTCAGTTAAAAAAGCAGTGGCCTTCAACAATATCTATGACAGTTATGACATTTCAACAACAGTTTAACAGTTCTGAGTGGGCGAGTCTCTCACATCACAGGCAGCGAGGATAAAGATTAGCCGATATAGGCAATTTTACACACACACACACACTATCTCTTTCTTAGAATTCCCTGTGAACCCTCAACTATATCTAATGAAGATATTTTAGGAAGTTCTTATATAAACACTACATTTACAACAATGGTGATGGTCTGAAATTTTTGGTGTCAGTGCATTTTACTGTATACTCTATAAAAGGAACTTCCCGTGACATGTCTTGAATTTTATAACCTACATGGCAGTGCATACACCAAGTCTTGTCAGCTCCAACCGTGCAGAAACCTAAAATGTCATTTATGCATGGCTGCAGTTTGTGTTTGTTTTCATAACTTGGTAATAAACAAGATTTTATGGTTGGCCAATGAGCAAGACAAGGTAAATGCTTTCTTTTTAATGAACTAGTAGTGATGGGTGTGGGCAGAAGAGCTGGGAAAGGGGAGGGTTATGAAGCAAAGGCTCACATGTTAATAAATAAATAAATAAATAAATAAATAAATAAATAAATGAATAATATGACCTATAACTGCCAATAGTGTAAACAGAATTATAAACAAAAATACACCTTAGCCTATTTCAATTCATAGCACCATCAATAACCTAGGCAAAGGTTAAGTCAAGATATATAACAAAAACTGCCACTCAACCATTCAACAAATCAACCAGAACCATACATCGCCCACATAGTTCTAAATAAAACATGCAATAATGTCCATTAGCTGAACTATTGTTATAAATTGAGTTAGGCAGCTTGTTAAGTATTGACTTCATTTATGCACAAAATGTACTTAAAAAGCAAGAGAAAGTCTCAAGAGTGCCATGCATCACTTTCAGGATCAAAATTCAACTCACAAAAAAGTAATCACACATTTACTAACTGCTATAAAATTCCATGGAAAAAAATACCAAGCTCAAATAACATATACAAATAGCATATGTCCACAACTGCTTTATTGCTGTTCAAACTTCTGAATATTTTTGTCCAACCTCTTTATCCTGTGACCTTTTAGATCCCTAAATATAATGACCCCCTGTCAGTCTTCAACTGACCATTTGTTTTTCTTCACAACTTACAATCAGCAATTCCAGTAACTGGTCCTTAAATAGATCTTCAGCTTTGAACTTGGAAAAGTAATCTTTCGGTCACTTATGGCATACAAAATGGACTTTCTCGATGGTGTCTCACTATCAAATTTCTCTCCAGCATCAGGAGCGATGATTCTGTGTGATTAGCACTTTCAAGTTCTGGCTGAAGTTTAAATGTATCTTACTACAGCTGTAGATGGGATGTCGTGAAAATCAATATTTCCTCAAGGATATTTGTGTCAATCTTAATATGCCCCGTAAGGTATATGAATCTAA